AGAGGGATAAATGTGATGTCGTCACATGTAAGCCTATCAGGTGCAAAGGCCAGAGAGGGGGTGGTCATTGTACGTGTAAAGACGACTTCAACGCACTTGTCCCGCGAAGGTTTTCTTTATTAAGGAGCCACGTGCTCACATTCGGACATTCGGAGACCCCACTGCAACAGCTCTGAGTCTCCCACGCATCTCATATACGGTCCGAGGCCACGCCCCCATTCCTGAACCTTCTCGCTGGTTCTAGACCGCTCGCTTTATCAGCAGACTCTACTGTCCTCTTTCATCACCTGGCCACGCTCCTATTCTCGATCATTCCCATAGCCACCAGTCCACTCGTACTGCAGACTGACTCCCCTGTCATTACCTCCCATGGCCACTGGTCCACTCACACCGTAGGTTTACTGTCATTACATATGCATATAAATTAAAATGTATATCTATTACCGGTTGGGTTATTCATAGGGTAATCAACATACATTATGTATGCACATTGTGCTTGTTCATCCTGCCGTTTTCTGTGTGCACGAAAATAGCAATATTTATCCCTCTATTTAAGAATGAAACAGGATTTCTCCACAAATCTGGCTGTTGCCTGATGATGCTAGTTGTAATTACTGGCGAAACATCATACTCGCCATTGTAAATGTTGTAGGTTTACTCTCTAACACACCAGCGTGCTGTACTAGTGTAGTGTCAACGATTCAGGAGACACTTTCTTTATTAACACCTTTCACGGTCTCGACACATTTATGTTTACGCGATCTAACCCAAAATACCTCTATCGAAGATAATATTGGTCGCCAAAGCCTACGTGTTAAACTTCCTGGTAATGTGAGATAGTCTGCTTCCCATGATGTGTCCTGAGCATGTTTGTAGCTGCGAGGTGGCAACCTAGGTTCAGGCGAATATGTGAACAGGTTGGATATGTGGACATTAACAGTATATTTATTAAAAAAATGACAGTTACATTATGCATAAATACTATACTGGGCACGGGCACTTAATCGGTCATGGTGAATAAACGACGTTTTACTCTAATATTTGAAGCCCAAATTATGTTTTTCTGTAATTACATAATCAAATATCTCTGCACTACCCAGGGGTCATTCACATCAAACTACTGAAGTACAGCGTTCTCTCGCTCCAATTTTATTCAGTGTCCGTTAAGGGAACTGTCCACTCAAGGAAGGTGTTAAATCTGACTACTGGACCGTAAACCTTCAAGATCGCCATGAAACCCGAAGGTGCGTTGTACGTTCTGGATAGTGACACATTTCATCTTAAAGTGCAAGTCATGAACATTAAGGCTGTTCAATAAGTCGAAGGTCAAAACGCTTTGCTGACAAAGCCGTTTTGAATAAACTTGAAAACAGAGCTGCGTCGGTTCTCGCGCAGTGGGAAGGCCCTCATCCAGCAGTAGATTGGGAAAATGTGTGGACATGCACGATAGCATATTTTGTTTAGCCATATGGCCGACAGAGAACAGTGGGGCATTTTGGTGTGGCCGGGGGTTATCTCCCGGATGCCGATTGTTATCGTTAGTTTACACGACACAGCAATTTCCTATTTTAGGCTGAGTCAAACTTGTGGAGGTCCGTACCATATAGAGGCAACATGTGCTATGGTGCAAGTGTTGCTGTGCTTTCTCAAGGATGATTGACCTTGCTGTATGTCGAATTAAGTGGAAAGACAACGCTCTTGCTTTGGACTGGCATAAAGACTACTGAATGTATACCACGTTTTATTTTAAACCTCGTCAAACATCAGGAGGGGCGTCCATAAATGACGTCACGCGATTTTGACCCCCCCCCCCGTCGTCACACCACGTCACAAAAAGTCAGACCCCCCCCCCTCAAATATGATGTCTGACCCCCCCCAGGTGCATGACGTCATTTATGGACAGCCCCGGATAAGAAGCAGGAAACCAGAATACAAATCCAGGAAATGAGAACAGTAAAGCGATACAGTTTATTTCCCCCAGCCTAAGTGAAGATTGTTGGCTATTCAAATTTATATTCTTTGGTTCTTTCGGTAAAGTCACGTAGGTAGACAAAATAACAGACCACTCACCTGAAGACGGTCGCTTGCGTTGCGATCGAAACGTCGTGATCTATTTTGTCTACCTACATGACTTTACCGAAAGAACTAAAGATGATGGATTCATGCAGTCACGAAAGCTCCGAATCAAGGTTATTCAAATGTAAACTTGTACAGCACACTCACCAGTGCCTGCAGTGACTATGACGCATACTGGTCCATGGGTGACACGTGACAGGCAGTGGTTATAGCATCTGCATGAGTCCTGCATGAGGCACGCAGACACCTCATGCAAATCGGGCTGTGCCGGGAACAGCGGGGCGCATGGTTCATGAAAATGTTGCCTCACCTGCGCAAATTGAGTTCTGAACGGGGCTTAACCACCAGGAAGCATTTGCAGTCAACTCTTGATTATCGGCGGAAATGGGCAGAGGGGTGCTCGAGGGCCAGAATTAAACAAAAGCACAGGTGATGCAAAACGGAATGTAAAGTAGGATTTACAAACGTCGACTGTATTTATTGCTGACCTGCGATGAATGAGGAATGAGCGGCGTGGCAGATGTGGAATGTGTCGTCTGTGTTTCACATTGGTTACAAGCGAGCACGAAAGGAGCGGAGCATAGAAGGCTACTTCATGTTGTAGATGTTTATTTTGTTGCAAGTGTAGGTAGTCCGCACACGGGAAACCGAGAGTGAAGCAGACCTCGTGCCGCCAGGCATTTGTGTTCTCGGCGAGGCGACATTGTTATCCTTGCGATGCTTAAAGCATCGAATCAAAAAATTATATTGGTGTGTTTAAATATGTTAATGTGTCCCCTTTGACCTGTTTAAACTTTACAACATATTTTCTATTTATCTATTTGCTCGTGAAAATGTGTTCGTAAGTCAATTGATGACTAACCAAATGTCTTTTTCCCCATGAATACGACGATGTTCAAATTATGAGATTGACGTTTTACCACGATAGTTCAGTCAATCTGGCTGCTGTTGTGTTTCTTCTGCAGATGTTCCATTGCCAAAACACATTCGTCTGCAGGCAGTGTTACATAATTAGGTGGCGAGTTACAGTAACTAGAAATCTTTAGACCAGATTAATAAAGAAATATAATTACACACATTTGCCAATCTCCTATTGGATGAAGGCCTCCCCACACTTTACTGGTGACACAGGCAACTATTTTACTCTACTTCATCACGCTGGTCAGTGCGGGTTGGTGAAGGTGTGTGGCTTGATCAGCAACCACATCACTCATCTCGGGAATTTGCCGCGGGAGAGAGGCGAACTCAGCTTTCCGGGTTCATAGTACCACTGCCCCCCCAAAGTAAATTACATGTCAAATTGTAGATATTGTGCACAATTCTATCAAAGTCGAACTGTACCTCCACATAACAGAATGTTTTAGTCTATCGGCCAATTCACTTTATGGACTTTTGTTCACCAGTAGTATGTGTTTAAGCAAAAGGAATGTCTTGATTACCAAGAGTGATCAATATCAGGGTGAGTTTCTATATATAAGGGTTAGTGAGGAGTTCAATGCTCACTGCCCTGTTCTGCCTCTTATCGTCTACACGCTTATTTTACCTTGCAATGGCAATTCACCTGGTTATAGGTACAGTAAATACAGGCCTCAATCGAGCAAGGGTTATCTGTGCAGAAAGAACAACGTATTCCTCCTATGAGCATTATTCTACTTCGTAAATAACGCAGAGACCAGTGGTAAAGTGTTGCAAGTGAGAGTACCAGTTGGCGTGTGGATGGGCCAACTTAACTCGTCATCCCTCCGGGGTCGATACATTGGATTCGACTTCGTGAGAAGTCTATCATGATTGTATTTTGGATATATTGGCCCCCGTTATGGTATCGTGGAATTTCCACCGCTGGCTTTGGACTTCCAACAGATGCGCACTGCCCAAACCACTCTTTGGCTGGGAAACACTATCAATGAGTAATGCTATAATCTGTGATCTTTACATCCATTATTGTACGAGATGGCATATATAACACAGCAGATTTGATGTTTGCCTATATTTGACTAATTCTAAGCAGCTCGGATAGGTGACCACAATGCGTGCCCAGGTGCGATGGGCAGCTGCGGGGCTACGTGGTGGCAGCAGAGGGCGGTTCAACAAAGTGCCGTACATTGTACCGTACTACGCTCCAATGTCTATGTTCCCCGTCTGTGTTCCCCGACTTCCCAAACCCGTACTTACCAGCGTGTTGAAATATGGTCAAATGTCCGATTAGCACTTTGGTTACGTACGGTGCGAAAGAAGTTCAAAACACAAATATGCACGTGTGTGTGGTGTGCAATTGTCTTAACGAATGTTTTTTTTTTTACAAATTATTTGGTTTTTACTGAGCTGGTAGTGGTGCCAGCGGTAGAAATTCCACGATACCATCACGGGGACCAATACATCCAAAAGACACCCATGATAGACTTCCCACTAAGTGATAACTAAGGTATCGAAGGGGCATTTCCCGAAACATACTTTTAAGGCCACATTGTTATTGATGAGTGTGTTGTTTTAAAAAAAAAAGTTATATTTGAAACGTTGACTTGTCTGGCCACTATACGCCGTTGCTCCATTTCGAGATGTACGTGTACACAGTACGGTACTGTCCATAATACAGGTTTGTTTGGGGTTAGATCGCGTAAATATATATTATGGATATTGGTCGCGAAAGCCTACGTCTTAAACAGTACGGTACTGTATTAACATTCAAATTAGTGCGCCAGCGACGTAATTTCCCTTAAATACAAAACGTGACGCCATTGCTGCACAGGAGTCGATCGATTGCGTCATTAACAGGTTGCGTCCCGACCGTGGCGTGCGTGACGCCATCACGCATTGTACGGTTACATCACCACCGGTTACATCACCGCACCGGTGGCGGAGTTTAAAATCATGACATCATCACGCACGCGCGCGCCGGATGACTGAGAGCGGCGTGACGTCAATACGTATAACGTGCGTCACCGCGCTCGCAGGTATTTAAATTGATGACGTCATTACACTCGGTCTGCAGAATTCTTGGGACATTGCAGCAGCAGCTGCAGGAATGGGCACAGGAGTGGTAAATATCACAATCGCCGATTAACGTAACTTTACACTCAATAGCTATAAATAAAGCTGTCTTTTACAAATAAATGAGCTGTAAGTTTGGGGCGTGTAAATGTTGCGTTAATGAGGGCTGCATCTGGACTGTTGCATAATGGGGGCATTGCTCCTTTGCAAGGATGCGGTGACATTGATTGTTGGATAACACTGCCAGTGTTATCCTCTTACACAGTCCGTGTGTTAATAGTAATACTGGTGCCGTGTTTATAGCGTCATTAATGTAACAATCACACGCGTGTGCTCTATTCTCTATGCTGGGTATCAGGCATGCTGCCGATCCAAACATTTATATTATCTCTATATTACAGGTTTTGTTGGGTTATGTATATTCCTTGACAATGATGAATGCTATGAAACTGCATGCTGTATTGCCTGTTAAAATATATGATTATATATGAGCGTGTTTTATATTGTTTGGTCTATTGTGTATTTAATTTAAAGCAGTGTAATTGACAAATGTGTTGAGTTTATACAATAATTCTAGCTCTTGTCAATCCACTGCTGGATAAAGGCCTCCCCTGTCTTGTCATGGGTGTTGTTTGACCATACTTCACCACACCGGTCAGTGTTGGTGACGGAGGTCCTATAGCTGTATGGTTCAGAAATCACTCGCCACTGATGTCAGCCGTGGCTGGGAATCGATTGCAGCTCACTGGGTTCACAGAACCCACGCAAACCACTGCGCCACAGCTCCATGTTGCATGCACTCTGTAGAATATCAACTCCATTGCAGACTGCTGTATGTAGCCAAGTGTGTGGGATACAGGATTCAACATCGTTAGTAACATCTCCGAATGCCATCAATGTACGTTTATTGCAAGCTGAATGGCACAACGTGTGACCAAACTACTGTATGTGTCACCTGGACTATTGTTTGAAAGGGTGTCCAGTGACACATACTGTGCATAGCAAACACCGAGTCACATTTCAACAAACATTGTAAATATATACCTTCGATAATTATTTATTTATTGCTATGTGTAATCCCAATTGAACAGTAATATGCAGATGATTTATTTATCAGTATTGGGGTGTTTGGCCCAAACCAGTTTAGATTGTGCGTTTTATTTTTAGCTTTCTTAATGAAGTGCTTTCATCAAGTCATATACCCTCCTGTATAGCCACAGAATCTTTATAACTGAACTAAGCAAAATGTGCACGCAGTTTCGTGCATTGTAGCCTGCAACGTGAGACTATACAATGCCATCCTGGAGTTCTTAAAAACGACCAATTTGAATCCAATTTTCCGAAAGGTGTCACGTTGAGACGAACTGTCTGTGCAGAATGTTCGCGGAAGAGTGCATCACCAGATGTTAGTGAACGGCTCGTGGAAGGAGTTCTCAAAGAACTAGTTTTGAGATCTCGTCAATGTACTTTATTATCCAGACACTTGTTTCAGGTAAAACATTATTTTACCAGGCGAGAACTCAAGAGACAGAGATACAGTCATGTGGTGTAATTTTCAACAGTGACCCAGGGCTAACCTGCACTTCCTGCATGCACTGCTTCACATTCATGTTCATTGCATGGCAGTATCTAACCCAGACATGGGCAAAGTTCGGCCCCCGGGCCGTATACGGCCCATTGGGCTTTTTAATCCGGCCCGCCGAACTTGTACAAATATTATTATTATTAAATTAAATTTCACCTTTCTCCTGTAATGCCCCCATTTCCCCATTAGATGGCGCACTTTGACCAGGAGTTACGACATGTTTTGTATTGTTCATGTTCGCGCAATTTGTTAAATTGCCTTGCAAATAAATGTTTTGCTACCTGTTAAAGGCCAAATCCTTTCATGTAATGATTTTTACACGTCATTTATATTAGTTCACACAAACACTCCATCCATCTGTTCCTGGCCCGGCCCCTCTGTCAAATTTTAGAACCCATTGTGGCCCGCGAGTCAAAATATTGGCCCACCACTGATCTAACCTATATAGTATTGTTAATTCTTAGTAGATGGAAAATGTAATTAAATTAAAAGACTGCATTTAAAGCAATTATTTATCCACATGTTTTTGTTTGTTATACGTTCAGGCATTGGTGACCGGGCCGAGACCCTGTTGTCATTCCACTGCTGGATTTGGGCCATCCTCACATTGTACGGGTTGTGGGGTTATTTTACATATATATTACTATACTTCACCATGCGGGTTAGTGAAGGTGGAGAGGACAGACGGGGGGGGGGGGGGTATAGAAATGCAGTACAATTGCGTGTCCATCACCTATTCAACATTTGTCATTATCCAAGCTTAATTCTGATGAGCTTCTGAGATCTGGCAAGCCTGGGCACATTGCAGGCGATTTGCACTGAGGTCTTTAAATAGGGTTGTACAGTTCTTAGATGCGTTATACTGCACATTTCCAATTCATGACATGTTATCTGTACAGTACGTGTTTGTATATAAACAAGCACTATGTACAGCACAGTATAATTTACTACAGGTGTGTTTGCATAGAAACAATGTTGTATGTATTGACGAGCAAGTCTGCTTGTGGTAGGAAACGTCACTTGGCTTTCTTAGTGTTTCTCAGTGTACCACGCAGACGTGCGAGTGAGTGAGCAGGGCAATGAATGCACCGCAAGGCTGCTGCTGCTGCTGCATGCATCGTGCTTGCTAATCACTGCTTGCTGTTTTCAATGCTGCTTGGCCCATCGCAGCGGAAAGAGCGCAAGGTGGGTTACTCTAAAGACATGCATAAAACATGCGTGTGCATTTAGACATTCATGAATGCATTACTGTGTTCTCTAACGCAGGTTTGATTCCTGGCCATGTACGTGCGCAGTCAATGTGTCCATCCACTGCTGAGTGAGGGCCATATATCATATGTGGGATATATTGACCATACTTTACACTGGTTCGTGCGGGTTGGATGTAAGTAGGGGCAGTAGAGGAAACTTCACTGCCCTCTACTGCCCACAATCCAACAATATCTTTTTGTATCCAAGGTTATCACCCATCCAAGCGCTAACCAGGCTTAATGCTGCTTAGCTTCTGATATCTAATGAGATGAATGCATTTTAAGTGATGTGGTGTGAGGCGTCGATTCCTGGCCGTGCACAATACCAACACGAACCGCTGTTTGATCGACGTACAAGCTTTCCCAAGGTCACTTCGGCCGAAAGGAAGCACTGTGCTATGTGCAGAGTACCGGTAATACGAGAAATAGACAAAGTTGGCCAGGCATGAATGATGTTGGTTCAACCAGCACCGTTCATTCATCACATTAATTTGTTCTACCAACCATAGTTCACTATTAACATAACCTATTTTTATAAGAATGACCACAATGGAAATAGCTTATGCTCACGACTATTGCACTGTTCATTCAACAGTGGGTATATTCAATGGCAAGAGTGGCCCCCACCAAAGGATTGTGGAATTTTTACCAGGAGCACGAACACACGCCGATCTGAGTGGGCAGAAAGTGGCTTCTGTTGATGTGCACAAGAAGTGGATAGTACTGATCGTTTAATAACATATAAATGTATATGTAGATTTTCACTTGGGATGCTGCCATGGTGTAATTGTTATCACACTGGGCTTGCAAGCGAGGAGGTTCCTCGTTCAAACTCCCTGCGCCAGTTTAAACAACAGACGTGTTCATATTCTTAGTTTTTTCGGTAAAGTCACGTTGAAGAGAAACAACAAAATAACTAAGAATATGAATTACTGCAGTCACGAAAGCTTTAAATCAAAACAGACGTGTTTTTAAAATAATAATTTACACCTATGAAGCACCTTTCACTCGGAGGTCACAAGGAGGCGTTGTACAAGAAACACACGAAGACACGAGCAGGCTCAACACCAATAAAACCCAACCCGAAAACAAAGTATTCAAAAAATATAAAAAAAAATACCTTAGAGATAAGTTGTGTCTTTAGGCACGATTTAAATAACATGAAGTCAGCAGAGCTGACAATAGAAATGGGTACACCACAGTGGATCGGCGGGTCACGTGTGGTGGGGTAGGATAAGCAATTTGTAGTCTGGAATAGAACTTGAGAGGAAAGCATTGCAGAAGTATTAAAGACTAGGAGGTCGCAATGGGTAAAGCACGTGTGCAGGATAGATGAGGGAAGGTTATCAAGACAAACACTGGTGGCACCCAGAGGTTGGCGACCAAGGGGAAAACCTAAACTCAGATGATGGGGATTTAAAAGGGCAGGTCTTCTAGTTCCGTTCCAAAATCTGGCAGAATGAAGGAAGTGATGGTGTCATGACATCGGCAGCATTGGCTGTGATGACCGCGTCGTGATCCCGAGTGCACGTGTTGCTTGTGACGCTCAATGAGGGACCATCACCTGCGTGTGTGAGCGTGCAGCTCAAGGAGTTCAAGGTGATTGGCAGGCGGGTACCGACACCCAAGCAGCCGAGGCCCCCTCTGTACCGTATGCGAATCTTCGCACCCAACCACGTGGTGGCCAAATCCCGCTTTTGGTACTTTGCGTCCGTGCTGCGCAAGCTCAAGAAGTCGTCTGGAGAGATGGTGTACTGTGGAACGGTGAGCAAGGGTGGTGGTAATACAATCAAAGAGGGTAATTCGTCATGAGAAGGATATATAGCTGTTAGCTCAGATGCATAATAATTACATTTATATAGCACTTTCAGGAAACAGCAGCAGCAGACACTCAGAATAAAATTTATATAAATACATTTTAAAAATCATTGACTAAAATAACTAAAAATTGAATAAGCGGAAGTGTATAAATAGATTTTAAGGCGCATTTTTAAAATGTTCACAGACTGAAATGAGGTCGCTGATATTTCGTGGAAGAGTATTCAATATCCTGGGGACTACACGGGAAACAGCTCGGTCACCCAATAGACTGAAACCTTGACCTGGGAATACAGAGAAGATCTGCATCCCCAGATCTTAGGAACCTTGAGGGGACATATGGGTGCAGCATGTCAATGATGTAGGCTGGGGCAAGATGGTTCACTGCTTTGTAAGTTAACAATAGGATTCTAAACTGTATTCTATGTGAAACTGGAAGCTAATGCAGAGAGGCCAAAACGGGTGTAATATGATGTGAAGAAGATGTTCCGGTTAACACCCCAGCAGCCAAATTTTGAACATGCTGCAAATTGATTAGCACCTTCAGCCACACCAGAGCGTAAGATATTACAATAGTCTATGCGTGTGGGGTAGCTATAGACTAAGTAGGGATGAGTCCTTTTTTACTCTTGCCATCTTCAGAAAGTCCGTGGTTTTCCACTCAAATGAGAATAGGACGGTGCTCATCAGCCTTGAACCAGTGGTGAAAGTTCCAAAATGTTTTTGTGGGTGTTAGTCTGTCTATAGAATCTACCCACTTTTGATTTCTAAAAGTGGTACCAATTTTATCGACCTCAGAGGGATGAAGGATTGAGTCAGCCCCGACTAAGATTGGTAATGTTTGTGAGCCACACGCTCTAACCACTGTGCCACCTGGCCAGATCTACTTTATTGGTGCCATATAAACATACAAATATATACATACTAATTAGTCTCCTGTATATCTTTATCCCAATAGATTTCTAAACTATGTCCACTTCTATCAACGCGGTGGCAAAGGGCCACCACATTGATATGTTGTGCCCATCCAAAAATCCAATTCGAAGCACCAATAACTTTTGAGAAATGACTCTTGAAAGTTTTCAAGCAAAATTATCTACCAAATCATGGGGTAAAAAATCTGGCGGTTTATAAATTGTGATCTCTTACCGTGCTTGCGATTGCACCTGCTGTGCAAACTAGAATGATTATTCATATTACTGTACTCTTTGGTTCTTTTGGTAAAGTCACGTAGAGAGAAAATAAATAATAATAGAATACGACGTTTCGATTGCAACACAAGCAACCATCATCAGGTAAGAATGAATAAAACAAACCTAGTAAACTTAGAAATATAATGCAATACAACACAGAGAGTCGGCTAACACAACAGTCAACACCCTACTTGGCTGATTACGTTCTTCCAAAGATTGCTAAATTTGAGAGAGAGACAAAACACACACGGAGACACATAGACAGACACACAAGCAGGGAGAGACACACATATTACTGTAACCCCTGTCAGTCCCTGCTTTATCTAAAAATACACATTCTCGTGCATTATCCGGCGGGTTAGCACTGTGGTTTGAGTGCTTGATCCAAGATCGGAACATTGCAAGTTCAAATCCCGCTCAGGGCCTCATCTGAACTGAGGATGTGGCCCTTTCCACCAGTGGCTTGTATGTATGTAGAACTTCTTTCGCAGCGTATATAGCCAACTGTGATAATTGGAGGTGCGAGGGAAGGATTGGCCCCACAAGCAGGTCATGTGACGTGATTCAGAGATTACCTTCCACGCAGTGATAACAAATACAAAATTTAACCCGTGATGAATATTTTATAATTTTGTGGATCTGGTTTATTTTGGAGTTTATAGTTACTTGGCCAGGTGGTGAATGCTGTGCATTTAATGAAAGGGTGACAGTGTGTTCCGCACTGTATTTGTTCTTCAAGTGCCAACTTAAAGACAGGACAAAATGCACACTTTGTTTACACAAAAACGGACTGGGAATAAAAGGTACGTAGATGGGTCCAGGAAATGTTTTGTTCGTTTCTTTTTACCAATACAAATGAGAAAAATAAACTTAGTTTTAATTAAAACGGGTAATTCATGGTTTTCCTTGTGATACTCAATATCATTGAATCCGATTTTTTTTCCACGCCATCTAAATGAACCATTAGTTTGAACAGGGCCTCGTTAAATAAAATTAATCAGAAATGCAAAAGCGTAAACACGCTAATCAGCGCGTAATTGCATGTGCACGCACGTGATAGATTTAAATGTCAATCGCACCCATGCGGTGCAAACCGACATCGCAGCAAGTGTCAACATACACAGAATTAACGCAGGTAAGCCCTTATTAGTCACTGCTACGACATGACGATTATCTTGAGCCTCGCAATTAAATGCCTCCACATGAATTAAATGCGATGCAACATTATAATTGGACGTCCTGTTAAATAAATGATTTGCGTATCTTTATTATGCAGCCAGGCTATCAATTTATAATGAATTTTCGCCATGGTTGACTCAGCCCATCAACCCTCCTGGACCTATAAAATACATACCACGTTGAAGGAAGTCAGTAGTAGTCATCCTGTGGAAAGACTGGCCCCGTAACATTCTAGCTCAAGGCTACCATAAGGCATAATACGCATTGTCCGATTGCTTGTTTGGTCATGGAGACACTTTGACCAATTGAATTTAGCACAAGCACTGCCCTTTGGCAATCTACTGCCGGATGAGGGCCTCCCTACATTGTGTGGGTTGTGAAAGTGATTTGACTGAATTCACTGGGCTGCTGAGTATGAGTAGGTTAAAGCGGAAAGAATAGATGTGGGGGCATAGAAATACAGTACAACAATGGATTTTGCTGCACTGCTCTTGGCTGCCCACCACGTAGTCCTGCAGCCTCTATCAACCTGTTATGCATGGTGGTTGCACACCCAAGCACCGTACAGGTTTTGCTCTGGTTAACTACCGTGACATGACGAGATCAGGAATATTCCATGGGGATGGGATCTGTTCATAGGACATAGCAATGTCGTTAGAGCAATATGTGTATAATCTGTGAAGTACTCTACATTAATGAACACATAAATGGGCAAATGCGATGCGTTTTCTGGCGCTAATGTATGTTGTTCATCATGTCTGGCATTTCGCCCAACACGGTTGGGAGCTTCTTCAGAAACGGTGGACATTGTGCCAAACAACTCGCGTTACAACTCGAAAACACATTGTGAGAGCTGTGCAGCCCAACCACAAAAACCTACGCGAATCGGCAAATGTATGACTTCAGTCTCTACCTCTTCCGCTTCCGTACCCCGAGCCAGGTCTCCGAGAAGTTCCCACAGAGGATCAAGAACTTTGGCATCTGGCTGCGTTACGAGTCCCGCAGCGGAACCCACAACATGTACCGCGAGTACAGAGACCTCACCACCGCTGGCGCCGTCACCGCTTGCTGTGTGTACCACCCTCATTTTTCATGACCACCTGTGCCCGCTCCCTGGTCCAGTATAAACAAACTCCCCACAATTCCTACACTTCTGCTCCACTTTCTCAACTCCACTGGATTGCCATCTACTATCACCGCATGTTTAAATTTCTCACTCTCGTCTGTAATTCCCTCCATGGTCTTGCTTCTCTCATCTCTTAGTACTCTGTCCCACCCCGTCCTCTACACTCCCAGTCTCTACCGTCCCTCTCTGTGCCTCCCTCGCCCTATGCCTAGTCATGCTCTCCTTCCTGCTCCCTTGTCGCTCCCCTCCACTGGAACCAACTCACACAAAATAATCATCTTCACCAACCTGCTTCCGTTCCTCCAATAAAAAACCCCATCTCTTTTCCCTAGCCCATCATCCTGCTGCCGCTACTCCCTGCTCCTGCTCCCCAGCGATGACCAGGCCTACCCCAACCCCTATCACTACCCCAACCCCTATCATTACCACCACCCCAATCAAGACCCCAACCCCTATCACTACCCCAACTCCTCTGTAACCACTCCCACCAGTCCTCCTAAATGTCACCATAACTATGCCTCCACTTTTAATAACCCCACTCTTTATTTTGACCACTATCATCTTATGTACAATTGTATTGTTGTAAATCGCCTTTGATTAAGGCACTATATATCTATACAACATAAGATAAGACTAAACGAAAACATTTCCTTTTGGAAACCTCACAGCCCTTTTGTTAATCTACTGCTAACTGTGGGCATCCACACGCCATGTGAGACATGCGGGGTATTTGACCATCCTTCACGCAGGTTGGAGCAGGTTAGGGAAGGGGTGAAGCATATATGTGAGCATAGAAGTACAGTACACCAACTGTAATTTTTCCCAAATATTATCCTGATTGTGCTATTGTCATGCAGATGTCGCACAGACCAGTGTATCTCTTTGTGTTGAAGGGCCCGCAGAAGTGGATATCACAGAGCTATTTCTAAGATTTATTCAAGTGACCTCTGGCTCACAGTAGAGTACAACGCTTTTAGGAGAGTAATATGATATTACGCCAGAAAACCGATATTTAATTCTCAGAATGTAGCTAAATTAAGAACAGAAGAATATTTATAGTTCTAGATTTTTGCGTGCAGTCATTGGTATCTGGGCTGAGATCATTCACTATATCAAGCAGTTGCTTAATCAAAATGTACTACTGCCTGGATTCAAACCCCAGGTTCTTTGGGTTGGCAGCTCAGTGACCTCCAAGCCACCCGGTCACCTCAAGTGACTCACCCTTATGAATATTGTCCTTCGAATGGCAATCAAGCTGGATTTTAGCCCACAGATATTAAGTGATGAATAAAGTTTCATATGGTGGGGGTTGTGCAGTCGTTGGTAACCAGGCCCCCGCTCACTCACCATGGGCTTGTAACGCTCTCCTCCATATTGACCGATCTAACTTTTGTTGTACGTCGCATCCACTTGCGACTCGACCCGCTCACTGCGTGTGACGTCAGCGGCACGACGCGGCTTCTGCAGTGGAAAAAAACTTGGGCTCCTCTTGATCCGCGCCGGGCTGGCTTGGCATGGCTCGCCCGTGCAGTGGAAGGGAGGTGAGGTACATTGCCTTCTTTCCGCCGTGAAGTGGGCATGCACGACTGCGAATTCACCAGATCTCGCGTTCTCGCGTTCCCACTTTCTCCGCTTCAGACCGAGACATGGGAGCCCGGCACCGTGCACGGGCCCACTCCATCCAGATCATGAAGGTAGAGGTGATCCCAGCCAGCAAGTGTCGGCGCCCGGGCATCAAGCAGTTCCACGTGAGTGCCCTCCACCTTTACAGCTGCGCGCCTGTCCCCAGCAATGCTGTGGTCGCAGTCGTGATTACTTCGTGTGCTAGAAGGTTAATCATGCACAAAACGCTTCCAAGTTCAAATACTGACTGGGACTGACAATGGCTTTTCATACCTCCAGGAGTCATACAATGAGTACCACGTTGTGGAAAGGCAGTAATAGTTGTTTTCTGGAAAGGTTGGCCTCTGCAAGAGGAACGTGGGATTGTCAATTCTCATTTAGGACCACCAATGGATACGAGAACCATCCCAAAACTAATTTCAACGTGGAGACACTTTTAAATATACTTGATACGGAAAAGGAAAATGGTACACCATACCGTCAACCCCTTATCAGTGCCTACCTTATTACAGACCAATTCAAACCGTATTGGTCACCCAGTGCCCTTATAAATATCAACGTTCATTCTACAAAGTACCATCACAAGGGAGAAACACGAACAGACAAAAACACATTTTTTTCCCCGTATTGAAACGGCTGTGCGCCATATGGACCTGAAAACTCAGTTTCCCTGTACAAGAATACGGGGTAAACCGTGTGGGTTAACAGGTATGCTACACTGTGTGCACGGACACAAGAACTTGAGCATCGTGTTCTAAGCAATGCCTTTGTGGGAAATTAGAAGGAAAGAGAGCAAAAGGGAGACAATCACTTGGTGCTGCAGAACATGAATCATTGGGCTCAGATGGCAAGGAAGTATCCATAAAAAAACCGTGTACCTTTTAGCCTCTTCTTTGGTCAAAGTAATGCTGTCACCATACTCAAGTACTCTGGCTCCCTTGGTGGCCCTGAGCCAGTGGTGGACATTCTTTTGATCGGGTGGGGGGTGCTGCTGACCAAGCATCCCGATACAGAAGCCTCAGGAAAGAGACTTGATGCTGCGTGAGGTTTTCCTGAAGATTTTTTTTTAAATGACAGACTTCCTAAAACAGTGATCTTTTTTAACACCTCAGGGATGATAGGCTGTCGATCCTCATCAGAGACTTTAGCTCATGCCTTCTATTTGAAGTGGGGTGCTCTGACCACAGTGCCACCTGCTGGGATAACACAGTGCTGTGTTGTGCTGATGGGAGGGATCGTCTCAAGGCCACCTGTGCGTGCGTGCGATTACAGAACTCTAAGATTCGCTTCCCGCTGCCCCACCGCGTCCTGCGCAAGCAGCACAGCCCGCGGTTCTCAACGCGCCGGCCCAACACCTTCTACTGAGCCGCCCTCCTCCTGCATGCTAACGGCACCGTTGTGAGTTCACGATTACCAAATTCTCTGGAATAGAATTCTGTTCCGAAGAGTAAGACGCAACACAAACATGCGCTTGGCGTCAATAAAGTTACACAATTATGGTTACACACACACAAATCTACCTACCTGCTGGGTTATGGGACGTACCCCAAAATCTGCTTCAATAATGCAGGGGAAAAAAAAAGTACGTTTTACGATCTGGAAAATATGGTAGCTCTCACCTGTATCCTAATGGTCAACACACGCCGTCTTGAATACTTGTCATTTTAATAAACATGGGAAACCCTCTAGAAACCTAAAGTCGGTAAAACATTCAGGAAAGTCACAAAAAGGTTTTTCATTTCCATATTTGGCTTTTCGATAAAAAAGTATTGTTTTTACAATATCCCCATTGTGATAATAATAATTTACATGTATTTGTAAGGCACCTTCCACAAATGTCTCAAGGCACCTTGTAAGAATAAGGATAGGCCAAGAGAGAGGAGAAGCTAAATATAATATTCTGAATTTTGATTTAAAGCTTTCGTGACTGCAGTGATTCATATTCTTGGTTCTTTCGGTAAAGTCACATTATCGGATAAACGAATTTCCAACGGTAGGGAATTCCACAATATTTGCTTTGAGTCAAAAAACAAAGAACCCTTTCGGATCTCTCGCCGAGCAGTGCAACCCTTCGTGGTTGGGAAAGGGCCAAGAAAGCAGACATCACAGAACTACCTCCTCTGGCACTGAGAGTAAAGTTTGTTGCATGTTGCATGACAGTCAAACTGATATATCTAATTCTCAGAGCTATCATTTAGCCAAATTACGAACCAACTGTAATGTGATTGTTGTTCGTGTCGTTATTGGTAACTCGGCTGAGACTATCAACTCTCTGCACTACCAAACGTAGTTTTAATCGCAGGTGGCTGCCTGGATTTAAACCCAAGATCTCAGCAGTGTCAGATCAGCACCGACTTCTTTTCCACTTGGCTATGGTTTTATTTCAGTGTTTTGCATGTGAGAAAAAATCCAGTTATCCAGGGAAAAACCATGCTACATTTGCACAACAGGGTCACATAATCATTTGCTGTACTGCCATCTCTTGATCACATTGCAGCACAGCTGGATTTTGAGGAACAGCGCCTGATTAATGAAATCTGTCTAATCCATCAACTCCACCTCTGAAGCGCTTGAATGCAGGCAATGTGTCACCACTCCAGGGCTATTTATGGTGCATAACAGCATGGACACATTGTGTATGTAGAACTTCTTTCACACCTGTACGTAGCCAAAAATTGATTGATACCAATCCATGCTGATGCCAATCCATTTTACAGGTCAGAATGTGCCTGCGTGTTCACTGTGTTACAGCTTCTTGTTTGGTGCTTTCTATATATTATAGCCTTTTATGATAAAGAGCGATGAAGCTACTACATCAGTCGTGTGTATACTTTCACCCTCCTATTTATCTTTGCAGAATGAACGCCACATCAAACACGGCCTCGAGGTTAATGTTACACCTAATTTTATTTGTGTTGTGGACTCCGGTCCACATTTGATTAAAAACATTGTGACTACAACTCTTGCACTCCCTGTTTAGTCGATTATCTATAACCTTTCCGACACTCGTAGCATTGTGCAATGCATCCTTGTCGTTGCGTAATAAAGTCTATTTAAATCATTTGAGTCAATTTCTTTATAATATAATAAAACTTGAATTTATATCTTGCTCGTGATGGAACAAAACATCGTGGAGCGAACGTTTTTTGGTCGAGGGGACTCCCGAATGGCAGCTGTCCCTGCTCGGCATGAGGCATTCACAGCACTGACCCACACTTGGGGGTTGGTTCACCAGTCGGGGTTATGTCGCTTTTTGTTATTCCAATTAAGTGATTTGCGAGTTCAAAGACTAACGTGGGTCATTAATCCTGAGAAACCTCAATGAGTATGAAGACTTGATTTCCACCAGGGACCTGCATTGCAGTGTTTTTATGCAGGAAGAGACAAGAATGCAAGGAGAAAATCCATACATACGAGGGGTAACACTTCAACGACAGGTTCACGGACAAATTGTATACCGTGTAATAGAGCCTAACAGCTCATTGGGCCCTTCCTGCTGAAATGAATACTGCCATCTCATCGCCACACCACAGAGCCCGGTATGGGTTACACCAACCCTTGCTGGATTCCAGATACGAACCAAGCCCTAAGGGTTACACTGGGCGCTTAGGCTCCCAGCACACGCGATCGTGGGACCGTGTGTAATTGGGAGCCATGATCAAACTAAAGCATATGTTTAGAACCAATCTGTAATGATTAAACTCTTCAGAACAAATGGTGATCGTATTTACCTCGGCACCAGTTAGAGCTTAATTTGTAAATCAGAAAGTTAAAATCCTGGTTGGATGTCAACTCAGCCTATCATCCATTGAGGATAGTATATCGTCTTATTTTTTTATATATATAAAAGCAGGAGTATACAAGGACCGAGGAATGAATGACCGTGACAGAGGGCACGGGAGGAACGGGACGGGATGCAGTGGAAGGGCGAGGGGAGGGAAGGGGAAGAGAATGGGCGATAGAGAAGAGGTGAGGCTTTAAGAGAGGAACGGAAGGAGGTCACGGAGGGGGACTACTTCATGTTCAGAGGAAGTTTATTCCAGTGGAGGGGTGCAAGGGGGAGGATAGACAACGGGATTGTGCACGGGGAGGAGAAGGGGCAGACAGGATTGGGAACTAAGAGCACGAGGGGGGACAGAGAGATGAGAGAAGCGAGATATTCACTACCCCACTGGGAACGTCAGCAGTGGTTGTGTAGAAAGACTGCCCCCCCCAATAGGAACGTGTGATTTCCACCACCCACTCTGGGCCGTAAACTAAAAACAACAATAACAAAACGAATAGACTACTGTACACATCCGAAATAAGTGCACATTAACCTTAAATGTAAACAATGCATAAAGAAAGCAGCAACCGTGTTAAAATGCAGCGTTTTTATATGAGAACTGCTATTGCAACCAATTAATCTACACTAAACTATGGACCTATTTAACGGTAAAGTACTGTATACATACATGTAGTAGTAATATTCTTCAACTGTGATTGTATAGCTTATTTGGTCTTGTTCTGAACATTCGGAGCTACCATTGGTAAAACCAACACCTGCTGCTCTTCCCACAATTATTTGCGTGCAGAACGCCTCTGCAATATCTTGTCAGCTTCCATCTCAACTTGTGTATTCGGTATGGGGGTCGGGGGAGGTCGTGGTGCTGCGACTCCCTGATCTCATGGTCTGCCCTTCTCGCTTAATATTCCATCCCAGGCCCCTCCCGATGGCGTGAATGACTCATTGCTCTGGCCCAGTGAACCTTTTTGCGCCCATACAATATTAAGCCAACTCATGGGCACCGCAATGTGACCTGTCTTGCGAGGGTCGGCCAATCCCCTGGCAGCGGGAAACCGTGGGGCTTTCTTCCTAGGGACCCTTCGGATTAAAACCCGTTGTGCCAGGCAATTCCCCGCCAGGACACCCCATGTGTGTGCTTCGTGTGGTTGCTCAATGTGGGGCCGGGGGGAGGCCGTGGCACCACTTATTATTGGGCGTGGAAGGATAAAAGGCAGAGTTGTACCCCGATCATGGTGTGAGCTTCCATCTTTTTGATTGGGAATTGCGCCTTAACCACAGCAGCACTCGAAACTGAATTTGCTGGGCAATCGTGAACACTAATTTTTAAGTGACAACACTTTTGATAACGTGCTCAAATATGTAAATAAAGCTCCAAAGCCAAATACTGTGAATGTTTTCCCTACTAACCACACTTCTCAGCGAAAGATATAAGAGAATATTGGAGATAACCCAAATGATTGACGTGACGGTTAAGATATTAGGTTTATAATTAGCATAAGATAATGCGAAGCTAATCTCTAATTAGCTCTGCAAATACACCGTCGTTAGCCTAATTAAATAGCATAGTATTAACTGAGAACTGAATTATCACGTGTCACGCACAATGTCAAAACGCATCCCAATGGTAAATTAGTGTGAATGAGAGGTCTCTTTACCATGTTAATTGCGACCCTTGGGACCGAGCGTGGTGTGGACATCATCTCTCTATGGTAATATGCAAATGCAGGGAGTGGTGGCCAACACCTGTATAGCAGCCACGCAGGTATCACACCCCACTGCATGGCATTGTGGCACCTGTGGAGGGCAGTACAGATGCCTTATTATGTTCCGGTCCTATGTATTTGGGTCTTTTCGTGGAATAAAAATGTCCTCCCACAGTAATATATGACACGATCCCAGACCATACACTAAACCTCAAATGTCGATACCACCTGAGGAGGCATTACTTTAGCGGCTCCAATTGTGACCAATAAAAAGGAATTGGGATAATTTGAAACGAGTAGGTTTTATATTACCTGATACATATGTAGAGTAGGAGTTAGTGACGTCATGTCACGCTCGCCTTCTTGTACGATGACGTCACGGATGGCGATGTCATGCAAAGGGGGCAGGACGGTGACGTCATGTCCCCCTGGGGGATTTAAGCTGGAACCCGTCACGGGTTCAGGGTCGTCTGGAGAGTCCGGGAACGTGAAGGGTGGAAGTAGGGACCCAGGCTAGGGTAGCCTGTGGGTGTGCTAGGGACCTCCCCAGTACCCTTCCCCTGGGGGAGCGATGGGACCCCAGGGTAGGGGGAAATTGGCACCAGGCTAGGGTAGCCTGTGGGTATGCTAGGAACCTCCCCAGTACCCTTCCCCCGGGGGAGCGATGGAACCCCGGGGTAGGGGGAAATTGGCACCAGGCTAGGGTAGCCTGTGGGTGTGCTAGGGACCTCCCCAGTACCCTTCCCCTGGGGGAGCGATGGGACCCCAGGGTAGGGGGAAATTGGCACCAGGCTAGGGTAGCCTGTGGGTGTGCTAGGGACCTCCCCAGTACCCTTCCCCCGGGGGAGCAATGGGACCCCAGGATAGGGGGAAATTGGCACCAGGCTAGGGTAGCCTGCGGGTGTGCTAGGGAATCCCCAGTACCTTTCCCCTGGGGTGCGGAGTGTAGGCAGTGATTGTGCAGTACGTGGAGTCGTGTGCGAAGAGAGGTCTTTAATAAAACTGGCGCAAGCCCCTACATGAAGATCTGCCTCCGAGTCATCATTTACGTCTCAACACATGTAAAAAATTGCTTTATAGATCATCGGATTCCTCCAGGACAAAATCAGATTCTGAAATACATCCACATGCCTGAAAACTGCTAGCAAAGGTGGCACCAATTTATATGCTGGCCCATGGACTACACAGAAATCTGCATACATATCAAAACAGGTTGCAGATTATCGCAGCTCAAATGAATAATCAGTGACGCTCACCTCTGTTGGTCGCCCTGAGCCAGATGTGGAACTTCCACTCGGCTATGGCGGGACAGTCTCTCCGTAGGAAAACCGATCTCGAGCAGGACTTCCAAAAAGGAAATGTTATACCTAGTGAAGCGGTGACAAGAAATTCGTGCACATTTTCAAATTTCTAATCAGCATTTTATTTCACGTTTAGCCACCAGCTGTCACTGCAGTGAAGCATTCCTGGGCAATGTGTGACAAGTTAAAATTGTGGTTTGGGATGGGGCTTCATTTCTCTGTTGATAACTTTTTTGTTTGTGCCTTTTTTGGTGAAATTTATTTTTCATTGAGGGTGTTCATTTGCTTGGTTGTCGCTATAAATAGGATTTGGCCCTTATATATAATTGATGTACACCGTCGTGGGATGCACTTACCATGAATGGCACGATATAAAATGAAAGCCGACGACGGCGCAAAGGCAACTGAACACACGCGTCATGTAAGGAAATGAGGTTTATTATGTACTTAATATTATGTACTTATTAGCGATGTTATGCACTGTGCAGTGAGACTGGTGACAAGCTAAGGCACATTTGGGGGAGCGGGGCAGGGACGATTGCAGGGACCAGAATATAATTCCCTGGTTTAAGAATTTGCAATGCCTTCTGTGTGGACGCAACCATAGTGCAAACGTAACCACCAACACAAAGCACAAAGTTCACACGCCTATATGAGATTGTGAGAATTCACACGGAGTATAGTACACATTCTTTTACATACATGGAGAGTATACTTGCATATGATGCCGAGAAATCCCTAAATGCGTCATTATATTTAATCAGTTTACAAAGCGCACCTTGTTAATAGTTAAACGATTTGCACAATTCCTTTTTTGAGTTGTTTTAATATATATTTTAATATACAGTATTCTGTTCTATACCTTAATTAAATATATCTTATTGGGAAAACTGTAGCGCATTCATCAACAGTTCTTGTTATAGAAACAACCGTTAGGGATGTACGTTTATTGGAGTAGATTTTCTTCCTGTATATTATTAAATTCATGGCTAGTCAAAAGTTTACTAGACATTACCCTTCATCTACATAAGTTTGTGTACACCGTTTACAAATTAAGAAACCTAAAATTGATTATTGCAGTAAGTAATACAAAATCAGAGCAATAACAAATAACAAAACACCTATTAACCAGCAGAAATTGCAACAGACAAAAAACTCCCAAAACCATTTTGATTCAAAAAGCCAATGCACACCTCTTCACATTTTAGGCGAAACAGATTATATGACATTTCTCTCGCCTGGCTCTCATTCTTGTGGTACAACTAAAATCGCACGGTATTTTCCCTCTACATTTGTGTGGACGCTTGCAGTCACGATGCCGACGTTTTCAATTACGCTTTGGAAATCTCACCATTAGTCGGTAAAACGTGAAACTAAATTGGCGCAAGTTAAACACTATCATACCCAGGACTCCAGCATTCATATGAATGATTTCTCTCAGCACGAATGCATTTAAAAACGTTACATTCCCAGCACTTGTTACATTATACATATTGTTTGCCGTTATAGGCCAAGGTCATATTTTTTAAACACATTAATTAAAAAACCACGTTATTAAAAACTTCACATGCATTGGTTTCACAAAAATTAAGCTCAATTAGATATTCGTGATCAAAATAAGCAGCTTAAGTTGATCTTTAAATACTCTTTGGTTTTCGATAAAGTCACGACATTTCGATCACCACACAAGCAATCCTCTCCCACCTGAGGACGGTTGCTTATGCGGCGATCGAAACGTCGTGATCTAATTTTTTTCTACCTACGTGACTTTATCGAAAGAACCAAAGAGGATGGATTCTTGCAGTCACGAAAACTTCAAATCAAGATTTTATCTTAAAATGTATGTTCTGATTTTGCACCCAGTGCCCATGGACCTATATTTCTCAAAGTCCCCTGGTCTATTTTAACAGAAACGGGGTTTTCCCCAATATTTGGTAGTGGCCAGAATGGTGCCACTTTATTCCGACTTGCCAGTTTATATGGCAGAACATCACGACAAAACATGTTTTGCTATCACAAGAATCGGACCACTTCTCTCAATGGGCTCTAAATCAAAATTTTCCTGCATACCAAAAAGGGAAGTTTCCTTATCACCATGAATCGAAAATTTAAACATAGAAATGACAATCCACATCACGGGGTGGGGGGGGGGGGCTTTTTTCAAGGTGTGTGCCCTATGGCAGATCTAAATAATGGATAAGTGGCCAAGGGCTGATCGCAAATGATTAGTGTCTGTCAAAGTCCCCATGCCTCTGTACCATGCTATCAGTCAAGGTATGTCTAATCAATCGCATAAGGAATATTTGCGGTGGCCATTTACCGTTAAGCCCTGAATGTCACGTGGTTGGTGGGGTGGCTGAGAATGTGACCTTAGTGGCGACTCAAAAGGTTTAACAAAGACGCTGCACATCCATAAGTTCACAGCACTCATACCAAGCAGCCTTGCAATAAAAGCACTGCTGTACATAAGTATATACAATTTCCTGTGCTAGAGATTACACATTTGCCACACTCCCCTTGCCAAGGACAATCTCAAAGGGCTATCACACCTGGCTGTATAAAGGGCACTGTCTGTAGTTTAAAAACTCGGCCAAATTTCTCGATTAAAATTTAGAACGCGTTTCTGTAGTTCCGAATGATTGTGTATATATGACGCGCCCACTTGGCCTTTTTGACAAGTGAAGCTGGATTTCCTGGAATCAGACGAAAACTATAAATTACATTACAATCCCTAATGTACACACGCGAGCATAGCAATGAGTTCAGACAATCAAATCTTACGCCCGAATGCAGTTTCATAAGCGATTAAAAATAAGTTTGAGGAAAAAGTTGGGTTTCATTTTCCATTACATTGCAGTGATGTAGTGTCGTACTTGTCAAAATGAGAACGTTTTTGTCAAATGAGAAGAGTTGGCAGCAGCTAAGGTGGTGCAGACTCCATCCAATGCGACGATAGCTAAAGTTAAACACAACTCAAAGTGAAACCGGTTGAGCGATTACCTTGCTCGTCATGCGAGGAGCGTAACGACTGTGGCTTAGGCGACGCGACGGTAAATTAGAACGCAACTTTAATCTCACGGGGCCCGATGTGACAACTGCAGCGCGTTGCGCGTTAAAAGTGGCACGTGCTCATTTTGCGCAATTAAAATCTATTTACATACGAATCGTTAGGCTCAAATTGAACGCCACATTGGGAGATAAAATGCATAATTGCAAAACGTGCAGTCCTAATTAAATTGACCAACTTGGGAATTTTACCACCATTTCCACAGACTGGCCCAGCTCGGCCCATTTCAGGTCAACATCGCATAAGATTTTTAGGGGCTGTACTGACAGTGGTGCAGAAACATAAAAGCCGAAAATACATTATAGACGTCATACTGCATTTTGACTACGCTTCATTCCAACCACAATGCCGACACAGTCCTGTGGTTGGAGCGTAAAGCTCACATTTGGGTGAGCTTCAGACTCAAACCTACACGACCACACCTCCAGGGTTAATTAAATGAGTACCACATTCTAGGTAGTCAGAGGTTGTTCTATATAATAACCCCCCTTCCCCATCACAGGGATGTTGACGGTGGTTGAGGGCTGCCCAGAGCGACAAGCACTGCTCAACGCTCGCCAGAGCAGGCAGACTGTCTTTAGAACCCCGAGACGGGGGTCTCTGCTTGTGCGTATTTACATCGCGTATAGGCTTTACATTTAGTCGTGAAACGACAGTGTCATGAAACCAGCGAGACGGCCAACAGAATACTACCAACAGTGCTGGGTCACAAGCAACACTTGCAAAACACAAAGTGATGAACCTATGAGAACCAGGTGAATATTGACACAAAAACAGTGAAAGTGAACCGCTTGCTTAAAAATGTGCACTTGTTACTCGCATTCACAACCACTGACGTCTGCTTCTGCAAGACTCATGCAAAGTTGCTGAGCTATAATCGCAAGGCTTTCTGTTTCTTTTCCAAGAGACAATGCATCTGATTAACGGTACAATGTAGTGTCAATGGCGGCGAGGGGTAAACCAATGAAAACTAGGTGGCATTAATCTTTGGTAGAAGCGTGAGTGGAGTCGAAGTGAATATGTAAACTGCAAATGTGGAGGTGCTTTTATTCTGGTACAGAAGTATTTGTCATCTCTGTGCATGGGTTTGATTTAATTTTAAATATTACATGCAGACCAGTGTCAAAAATAAACTCTCAAAAGTTTGTCAATTACTCATCACCTGTTAATGGCTACAACAATATAACACAATTTTATCACGAATCTCCTGACCGCTCCGAGGTCATCATTTCTGTGTTACTGTTACATATGAACAACGTTCTACATCACGCGTGACTCGACAATGGAAAAACTATTAGGTAGTGCTGCTATTGAAACAAAAAAATGAACCAATGCTATTCCTAACTCAAGCATATTTTTCATTCAATATGTTAATCAGTTTTATTTTTTATCCAAATAGTTTTGTTTCCCCAATGTATTTCATAGTTAACATTGTGAGTGTCCATTCTGGGGAGGTGGTGAGGGGTACAGCATGCAGAAGGATACTTTCATGTTGGGTAAGGCTGCCACTATTACACATCAGTTTGTCGATTTTACCAACTGCTTAGTTTTAAAACCAGTGTAAATGACTTTTTACAATGAGTTATTCCGTTTTGTAGATGACCAGCACATATCGATCAATTGTTAAATCGGCTAATTCATCAGCCCTTTGCCAAACCAATGAACTTTGGTCACCGAGTTAGGAACGCGCTGTGTTAGTAACGACCTAGCCAGTGCTAAGAACCGTGGCTATTATCAAATGTTAAACTGCCATCCTCTCTTCACCAACCGGCACCATTCAGTATGAAGCATGGTCAAACAACCCCCTATGAGGCCTTCATTTCCTGGTGGATTGTTAAAGGGCTATAATGCAGGTAACACTGCATTTGCCCTGTTCAACTTTTCTCACCACTCACGCTGTCATAATAATTATATGTTCATGATTGAGGGATATAAACGATCATAGATTGATTCTTCGTAGATTTTTATGAGGTTATTATTCATGAAAACGTCAGTGGTGAGAAATATTGAATAGAGCGCGTGTAGTGTTAGCTGCAATAATGAGCAACGTGCAGTGGGACCAACACACACTGACTCCACAATATCTGGGCACCTCAAGACTCGGAACATTTTTGTCTAAATACTGTAGTAGAAAGGTATGAATGAACAACTGCCACAAACAAATATACCGTCCACGTGTGTATATTTGTGCAAAGAATTGCATGGTTAATAGAGATGCCCTGAGTGAATTACACAGTAGCACTGCGGTAAGAGATGGAGAAAGCATTGCCGTGCTGTACAACCTTTTGGTAAAAACAGAGAGCCAAACAAAAGCAACATGGAGAGAAATGCAAAGAACACGTTGAAAGGGCATGTAACAGACACGTACGTAAGTAATATCTGTCTGGATAATGCGACAACAGGTATTTGTTGGTTAAGATTACTTTGTCTTTCACTACCGTGACCGACGAGCATGAAAGATTTTCGTGAAGCACCCGGCAAATTCCTCCGACGCACAGCAGATCGAGGTGACAATGTCCTAGTTTTTGTGCAAGAGTGGGATTTTCTTTTTACCCAATTGATGGTCAGCATTCACCTGAATAAGCATCTTCTGATAAAAAACACCAACGAAAAAAAGTTTTAAACACTTCAAAAGAGAACACAATGCTCATGTAGTGTGCGGAGCTGAAGGCTAAACCACAAGTTGCGCTAAAACGTTTAACTTTTAAAAAAAGTTGATCTATATTTTTCTTTCTATAGGATTAGGGGGTCTGTAGTGGGCAAGTTTCTGATGCAGGTCTACAGGCCGTGGTGCTCACGTCAATGGTGGACACACTCACGATGCCCATGCTGGTGTCACTCAGGTGGAGGCGTGGGGGAAAAGAAAGGGTAAGCCGGTGAGAGACGAAGGTTGGTTTGAAGGTGAGAGGGGCATGGATAATATTGCACAATATCCTGGAACGTGGAGAGGCAGAGGGGTCCGGAGAGACATGGGAAGGTAGCAGCCTCGCCAGCTCAATCTTCCCACTCGTCCTCCTCATCAAAATCATCATCGTCGTCGTCATCATCATCCTCGTCTGTTGGGACACAAGTTAACAGCAGTTGTAAGAGGCAGCTTCATCATGTCAAGGAATGGCCCCAAAGATTACATTTCATTATCCTCACTTTAGCAGTGCTAGATGGCATCCGTGTATGCACGGTAAGCAGTGGTTTTTCATAGCCAAACGTTTATTAATATTCGGTATATTTTGCATCTTGGAGATTGCCTTGCTCACTGACAAAAACGAATTCATGTTTTTTAGTGTTGCTAGTTACTTCAATGAAATTACCAATTGGTGTCACCACATCTGTTTTCTTGCATTTACAATTGTAATTGTAAATTTGATTACGAATTGAAATCACAACGCAATTGTCATTTTAACGTCGGCTAACAATGCTGCTGTAATTGTAGATAATCGACCACAGGCCTGCTTTCGAGCTATTTACCACCTCGGCAATGACTGTGTGTGATGTATCTCACCGGAGGAATGGATGGCTTTGCTCCTCTTTTGCATGGCCTCCATGAGAGCTCCTACGATCCCCACTGTTGGAGTTGATGAGGCAGCTGCATCTGTTTCCGTCACCTGGCGAAACGCAAAGGCAATCAACAGGATAACCTTTTGTTGCATTTAACCAACTGACCTGTGGGACTACCAGACAAACTATTTAAACTATTTTTTATTTTACCAGGTAAAGCCGACTGAGCTAAACAGCTATTTTTCAGAAGCGACCTGGCCACAAATGATAGCTCAACAAAGAAACTTAGCACGTGGAAATTTATAGCAGCCAAATACTCTAAACACAAGTTTCCAAATGTGGAGGGAAAATCTAGAGGATCTGGATAAAAATCCACGCGACCACAGGGAGAACATACAAACTCCAAATATACAGGAGTCAGGATCGAACTGACGACCTCCTGTATACCAGGCAAGGTAGTAGTTAACATTGCAACAATGTAAAAGCGCCACGATTATACAGTATGATATGTTTTCAGTGGCTTTAAACCCCATAGATATGCGATAGACGTTGTCTATAGGGCAACCAATGCCTATTACACCATGAAGTGTGATGTTCATTTTACTCCCCTCAGAGGAATGATGGGCTGTACAAACCCCTGTGCAGGATTTTAACGCAAGGGTACAAAATGTAAAAACTTGATTTGTTTAGTGTTCAGCAAGAGCGTATTATGATTAAATTAATATTAGAAATGTTACTAATCATAGACTGAGCACGATTGAAAAAAGTGCTCTTTATCTATAAAAGCATCGTTGAGTCTGAAGAGTTATTTCACAAGGGGTTATTTTGAGAAGATTTGCTAGTTTATATTATAGCAATCAAATTCAAATCCTACTACCAACTAGCATGCACATTCATAGGACAGCAAGTTGCTTACAGGATCTCCGAGTGCGGTTTTAGTGTCATTCCTTTTGCGTGCGTTTGCGGCACATGTTAAAATTGATCCCAAATGCAAACAAATGTCTGACATACCAACGCAGGACCTTCTTATTGGAAGTCCTGAGACATTCCGATGCTTCCTCATACGCGAAAAGCATCGACTCCTCCATTCCCTGTAACTCGGCCATCAGCACTCACCGTCTTGAGCGCGATGCCCTGGCGGATCTGGTCAAGCAGCGCGTCACGTCCCGAGGTGGATACCGGCCTCGCTGCCGCCCCGCCTCCTGCCGCCGCCGCCTCGTCCACCTTGCGCAGCTGTGCGCCCCCTCGGATCTGGTCCAGCAGGGCCCCTCGTGAGCCGGAGACGGGGCCAGGGCCGGGGCTAGGTCCTAGAGAGAGCGGTGGCGGTGGCGGCACCATGGGGCTCGGTGGAGGCGGCGGACCGGGGGGTGGGGGTGGCGGCGGAGGTGGCGGAGGTGGCGGAGGGCTGCATTGCGGGATTCCGCCACCACCGCTGCCACTGCCACCGCCGTAGCTGTTGCTGTAACCGTGGGGCTGCGGGGGCGGCGGAGGAGGTGGGGGGGGCGCGTGAGAAACCAGCGGCGGGGGAGGGGGTGGCCCCTCCGGGATGGAAGGAGGCGGCACGGGCGGCGGTGGCTGCCGTCCCATGGCAGACATGGGGGGCATGGTGAGCATTGGCGGTGGGTGGGGTCCGGAGGTCCCGCGGAAAGGCAGCTGGGGTGGCGCGGGCCCCGCCGGGTGGGCAGGTCCTCGGCTGGGGGGTGGAGGGGGTGGAGCGCTCCGCCCACGCGCCGGAGGAGGGGGGGGAGCCGAGGACGGCGTCTGAGGGGGGTAGTTGCCGCGGCTCGGGGGAGGGGGTGGAGGGGGAGCTGTACACGCATGCACACACACAGGAGTCAAAACACACATTTAGGTGACATTTAAGATGTTGCTTTATTATTTGGGAGTGGAGCGTGCAATTTGTAGCTCACTGTGCTCAAAATGAACTAATGTAAAGCTGTGAGGTTGATTCATGATCCACCCCTCACTGAATCACGCCATGTCATTCGCTTACTGGCAGTCAGGTGCCTTCCTTATGACTCTTATCACTACTACCATGTTATCGTTTCCACAAACTTGATTCCTTCACCCATGTTGAGGAATCTGACTACCAGAATGACTCGTTCATCTCATCCATACTGTGTTCACCAACCATATTGCAGGTGAAAACAAATCTCTGCTTCTTTCCTCAATTTTCGGCAATGGAATTTCAAACACTTTATTTTCCCAAGCTCTTGTAACCTGCTCTCTCACACCATCAATAGCTCATTGTTGCTGGCCGCTTGACATTTTGGGCATGTGCCCAGCAACTGCGATTTAAAAAAATAAGAGACAAATATCCCACACGCAGAGTCCTTAGGAACCTGTTGTGGCAAGTGCTAAGGATGGCACGACACATCACGAGGGTGGGGTGTTGTGGTCAGAGCCACAATCTGGCCACCAGGACAGGTGTTAGAGATGTAACCATGGTCAGTAATTGAACCCTGGTCACTGGAATCGAATGCTGGTCACCGTGAGCCACTGAGGAAACGCTGCTCAAATTGCATCCACACACGTAGGCAGACCATTTCAGCTCCTTCTGTAATTTAGTTTGCATTGCCATTTAACATCTATTATCTTGAAAGGCATAGAAACTGGCAAAGTAAATTGTATATGGAGTAAATTGTTTTTGTAATTTGTTTTAACACGTCCATTTCAATAGCCCTACATTTTGACTACAATTTACGAGTATCTTTGTGTTGAAATATTGGGTAACACTTTATAATGGTTCATAATGTGGGTGTATTTACTATAGAATACGTGCTTTTACAAGCAGACAATAAACACTGTTGAGTAATTAGAAAAGAGTAGGACATTGTGTGCCAGAATCATGGTCCAAATTGGCACATTTAAAACAAATACCTGAAAATTATTAAATTAGGATTACACAGCAACATCGCCCCCTATTATGAAACTACAACAAATTGTGCCTGTGCAAGTGCTCTCGAGACAGTCCTACGCTAGAAGCTTGCCATGAATACCAAATGTTACTCTGTGTGTGGAATGTTAAGTTTGCTGCACAGAACACAGTTTTATGGAATAAACTTTTTATTCCATTGAATAAACACTTCACGAGCCAGTGGGCTCTTCAAGCAATGCTGCATGCGTCGTCACGGCACACTAAGAAATACGAAATCCTTAGGCACGGCAGGCAATGCACAAACGTATACTCACGTGACCACCTCCTCTGCCCTGTCAACAGAATGTCATCGTCACTTTTCGCTCAACACCAATGTTAAGGAATACTGTTTAATTTTACAGATAAAGATGCCTACTATGAAGTATCAGAAAATAACTGGACCAAAAAAGAGTATATATGTAAGTCCTTTGATTATTCCACATTAGCCTCAGTGAACCTTGAAGACTATTTCAGGACAGCTCAAATTCTTTGGACCATTTGTAATAAAATATATTTGCATGTAGGAGAAAATTGGAATGCGCCATGAAAACCCATGCATACGTGAACAACCTATCTTTCTCTGCTTTGGAGTTGCCTTCATGGAACTTTGATCTTAATCTTTTTTAACCTTGTATAACCGGACTCAATGAAAGCAGCCTGTCAGCTCTTTAGTACCATAACTCCAGCTCTGTTGCTGAACACTTCCTTTATGAATGGCATTAAATCATCAAGCAAAGCCTCTGAGTTTCATTAACCTTTTTCAGTAGGATCTTTCTTTGGGAAGTTTAACCTTTTGAGGGTACGTTCTGCATTTTGGAGGAAATCAGAGTACCTGCATAAAACCACAACAAACAAGCAGATACAATTCTAAGATCTGCAGAGCTAAATTCATGGCCACTGTGCAGCCCAGCAGGTTTAGAGGAGCGTCACAACCCTCAGCGAACCACCAAATATCGCCACTAAAACACCGTACTACAGGTGGGCACCACCATTCCTGGCTAGACTATATGCTCATAAGGTTTCTGCTCATCAGCTTCAATTTTAATGATTTCATGTGTTCACATTTGTGTCCACCTGCTCGAACCACTCACCCTGGCGTCGCATCTCACTCTTGACAGCCTCCACACCACCGAAGTTCTCAATGAAGTCGTAGATGGTCTTGGAGGTCTCCTTGTCCTTGAGCTGAGACTCCGTGATGCCCGCCATGTCAAACAGACTCTTCAGCTCTGGGTCCAAGTTATTCAGCTGCCCACCCAAAAGCAGTGGGTCAAGAGAATGAGATGGAACAGAGGTATGCATGCACAACACAGCACTCTTTTAAAACGTGTCACTAGATTCATACAACCGTTGTCTTTGTTAAAGTAACGTAGCTAAGATATCAGTCTGTCAGTTTGTCCCGAGATCCAACCAAGAATTTGGTCTGTCAGTTTATTGTCTCAAGGCTACATCTGAGACTGGTGTCAGTCTGTTGTTCACCTGAAATGTCAAGATCTTCCTTTCTTTTAAGGACATTAGCGAAAAAAAAAACCCTGTAATTCTTTAACTAATTATAAATCCCATCAGAGATCAGTTTATCAGTCTAATGCAGACTATAAACATCTGCTTTGTAAGTCTATTATCCAGACTGCACAAAGTACTGGTGTCTAGTCTATAACCACATACATCATTAGTGAGTGGTCTATCAATCTACTTTTGAAAGTCAAGATCAGAGAACTGTCCGTATACTCTTTGGGTCTTTTGGTAATTACTACGTTGATAAAAGAACATAGGAGACTGAGTAATATTTACACTGACAAATACTTACATCAAACCCAGTGTTGGGATCCCATCCAATATGACCAACATGCCTGGAATAAAAAAATACATTTTATTAAACAATTCATATCAAAATTAAATAAATTAGTTTTTATATAATGACCATTTGTATGCCAAGGAACACATGTAGCTGTTTTCTTAGTCTCTTTAATGATTTTGATCACATCATGTTTAAAAGGCATTTCCATCAACATGTACATTAGGTTCCCGTATGTACATTCTTTATATTACATTCAAAGATTCAGTAACACTTCGAGTCTCCGTTCGGACCAAAAACATCATTGATTTCTATTTTTATCTCGTTGTTTTCCAGCCAATAAGCACTGTCCGTGCAGAGTCTCACAACAGGAAAGTTGCGAGTTTAAAACCCGGTTTGGGATTGACTCAGAACATCATCCATCTAGGATCAATGAAAAGAGCATCACTTAGAGGAAAGTAAACCACGGTTCTTCTACTGAGACAATGGTCCCCACCACTGGCTCAGAGCTGACAGTGGACATATGCGCAGCTCCATTTCTCTTCAGGTCATGGCGATACTTTTAACTTGACTGTGTGTGTAAATTCATATGCATTCATTAAAATAACATTACGGTACCATTACTAGAATTAAAACAGGATGATGTATTGCCTTTCTACGTGTGCAAAATGAAGCATGGTGACAACCGACATTGGTTTGTAAATGCACATCTATATAAAAACGCGCTGTACATCAATACAAAAGATGAATCGCTTCTTAAGACAATTCTTTCAACATTGGGAGGCACCCACTGGAAGTTGCTGGGTGCGCCAATATCCGCCTTGGTCAGTTTTTTCTTCTTTCCCTTGCCCTTCTTGGTCCTGTCCATGATCATATTAAATGGCGAGTTTGTAATGGTGCTGGTGGGGGTGGAGGAGGAGTTGATGGGGTAGCGGTTTACGGTGATGTCTGGGTTCTTGATGTCCATTGCCTGCATCTTGAGGTTAGGCAGCATCGGGCCTGCACACCCCATGCAGCACACCCCATCCCACCGCCACCACAAGGCACACACACACACACGCTTTGAGTTCAGTCCTTCTCGTGCAACTGCCATAGCAAATGCTGTTGTTGAATGCAGATAATTATCTGTTTAGCATGAAAATAGTAGTTACTTTTAAAAGCAATGTTTTTGGTACAAATCTTGAATTCACAATAAAGTTCGGGGACAAAGTGTATCAGTGAAAGTGTGAAATCCTGATCTGTGATAGAAATGTAATGTCTGCATGGCAAAGTGGGTATAATCAACAATTAGAAGAGTATGGGTTAAAATCCTTGTCAGAGCTGACATGTCACCTCTTGGGGGTCAATAAAATGAGTTTTACTTTGTGGGAAGCCAATAATGGTTGTCCTTGAGAGAAGTGGTCCCTCGCTATCAGAATGCAGAGGTTGCATCACTGGCTCGGACTGCTGCTATAACAGAAATGAGCACTGCCTCATGTTAGTTTGAGCAGGAATACATTCAGGTGATGGGGAAAGGCAAAACCAATTTTGGATGCGGTCTAATGTGAACCAGTCAAATAACTGTTAATATAAAATAATACCACACATTGCCTTGAATTGAACCTATCTCAGCCTGGCAGTGAAATCTGTGGAGCCAACTACATAGTAGTAATTACGCGGTTTGCAGCTCCAATTACTTGGTGCAATCATATAATACATGTATGTCTATAGCCATATATCTACATATTTGGCTATGGCAATCGATTAGAACTGGCGGATACGATGGCCTTTAAATTAAACTGATAATAAGTTTAACCAAGTGAGAATTGAAAGAGACCATGATAAGTCATTTGCAGGCGTTACCTGAATATTGCATTATATTCATCAAAGTATCTTGCGAAAGGACATATTTGCAACACTCAGCGAGAAATAGTCACATTTGTATTCTGTAGGAATGTGCGTGTGATGGGATCCCTAATTTTAAGTGCTACAGCTGTGATGTTGATGATGGTGTTGGGTCATAACACATTCCCCCACTCACTATCTCAAAATGAGGCCCATCAATCACCCTGGCAAAGCCAATGCTCCGTCACGTAACCAGATGGTCTAGGGCTGCAATACCTCGACCCATTAAAGAGGTAGATTGCTGCAATTGGAGAGCGCTGCACAATCCCAGCTTCACCTTAGAGGCAATGCAACTGTGTTCCACTAGGGGAGGCTACAAAGCAGGCATTATGGATAAAGCCATCGCCCAAATTTCAGTTGTTTTTCAGTAACAATGTGTAAACTTATATTTTAGTTAATTCCTGCTCTAACGAGCATGGAGCTGTGCTGATCTCCAATGGTGGGTCTAAGCCACCCGTGAAAATGCCACAAACTGATGGCAAGGACCAGTTTCTCTAAAGGACCTTGTATGGGCAGTGAGCCAATTCAACCCGAGAAGTAGGAAAAGCAATTGGGAAAAAAAGAGTTATTATCTTCATCTTGGTAAATATTGTCAATTGGTTGGATGTAATTTCTAAATAGAAGATATGTGCTATCTCAACACTGCACAAACATCATGAGGTCTTAGCTATTTAACAGTAGATTGTATGGTTGTGGCAATTTCATGGCTAAAATGTAGATAAACTTACCTGATAAAAAAGGACACTAGACTCGTGCATTATACTGTGCACGCAAGAAACATAACACTAGTTATACAATTTTGTTGGAAGATTTTTCGCCACTGCACTGCATACTGACGTTGTTAAAGAGAACGGGCAGGAATAATTGCTGAAGGAATGGGTTAAGGCAACAGGACATACTGAGCTTCAGGACAAGAAAACAATAAAGCTCGATTTAAAAATGTAATTAGTTCCTGGTTCTCAATTGGTTTCACATTTAGAACCAGCTAAGAAAAAATTAGCACAACAATCTTATTTGTGAATGTTTCAGTTAATTTCCACAAGAAAAGTATGGCATACTTTAACGATTTGTAGGACACCTTTGCTTAAAATGTCACATCGTCAACAGTTTTAAAACCAAATAAGCATGAAGCGGCTGCTTTGATAATTTTCAAAAGAGCACATTGTGTGTCACTGATTGTACAGAATGCCATCATGTTCAATCATAAGATGTGGTAATGTTTAACATTAACTGGCCAGGAGACAAGAGCACTCGACTTCAAATACATAGTTGACCAAGTTCCACTTTATAGAAGCTCAATTGTGGTTGTGCTATAGACAGGATTGGCCCCACCAAAGGAATATGGAGTTTCCATCACGAGCTCAGAGGTGCTAACAGAGATAAGGACCACCAAACCGAAATTTGAGCATTTGGTGGACCCATCGAATTTGGCTAAGAATACTCAATCAGCAAGATAAAAAATGTAAAGGGAACACATCAGCAGTTGTGTAGCATATGCCAATAAGTCCTGTTTACCAAACCCACTTGGTTACAGAAATTATAAACTATTTTATTTAGATTCAGAGCAAGACCAAAATTAAGCTATAATGCTGGTGACCTTTTCAATAGCAAGGGAAAGTGTAGCTCTCATTCAGAACGCGGGTTTGCTGGAGACATGCAGAAAGCATGCCCAGGTGTCCAGTAATGGCAAGGCCTTGGGGCAAGGGCACAAAAAGCCAAACTCAGAACAAACGGCCAAAGAGCAGGGAAAGCTGAAACGCTTAGACAATGCAATTTTTTTACGCAGAGATGGTTACAGAAAAAAATAAGAGTGCAGTTGCTTAATAATTTTTCCACTAGGAAACAGACAGTAGTAGACTCCACCCTGATTAGCCAAATGTGTCCGAGCACATTTTTAATGTGCATGTGAATTTTTTTATCTTACTATTTTTCTGGATGCACAACTAATTATGTTCCGAATTGTAATATCGAAGCTAATACACAAAGTAGGGAAATTCTTACTGGCAGCAGATCAACGTCTTAATTAGGAAAGGTGCTAGAAGAAACACCACAATAATGTATTCTGGCATTTCTTCAAAAGGTCATACTTAACCAGCACATTCCTGTGTTCCATTAGAGCAGTTAAATGTGTGTCAGTCATCTGTCATGTGCTACTTATATTTCACTCAAGAGTTGGTCGAATCCAAATAAAGTGAAAAGAAAAATGCAAGGTGGCTGTCTGATATAGGTGTAACAATAATGTCACCACTAGTTCCACCTAGTGATTAGATGAATTACAGCAATTTAAAGCAACAATTAAATCAAATAATCTGTTTTTTTATAACATTGTAGTGAATGTTGCAGTGATCTTGAGCCCATTGCATTCACATTCAAATAAAAAAAGACATAATTTTATATTCGATTCAATGCATGCTTAATTACATGAGAAATCGATACTGATATAAATGTATCAATCCATCATTCCATTTTACTGTCTGGCATTAAAAACGGTGCTGGCTCATTCTAATGTGGGTATTAGCTACCAAAGTGATAGAGCCAACTTCGAGGGATGGATGAGTAAAGAATCCACATATTTGGCTAATGTTAGCAAAGATCAAGGCAATCGTAGAGAAGACGCACCACTTAAACCCATCACCAGGCTTACCTGTGGAGTCACGCCGTGAAATAGGTGGCGTTGGGTCATTACGTTTTCGTTCTATTTAAAACAATAACATGAAAGTAATATATACTGTACACAAGCAAATGAAAAAAATCAATGCAAAAAATCTCAGCAATGATTATTTTCATTGTCTTTAGTCACAAAAAATAGTAATCTGATATGCACATTGAGTAATGGAAGGTCATTTAATAATTTGAGCAAGTAATTTATTTATTTCTTCAACAGAAAAAAATTTCATACAGTTAGCTTGCACATTTTTATTTTTAACTCATCTATATTCCCGCATTGTATTTTATTGCATTATTGTTTTGTGCCTTTGCTATGAAATGAAGTAGCATTTGATTTACAATCAGGTACAACCTCCATTTAAACTGCACAGGGCTTAGATTGAATAAGTAAGGTTGGTTACTGTGTCTATATGTATGCACTTAATATCAGGGCAATATAAACAATTGTGAGACCATCATCAGCTCAGAAATATCCACTGCTGAATGAAAGCATTCCCAGGCCAATACCATTCCACATGGTCTTTCGATGATGGTACTACCATCCATCTCATGCCTGTGCATGATCGTTTCCCATTACTCCATGTCCATGGTGATAATCCTTGAGGGAGTCATTTCTGCTTTGGCTTCCATTCCATCAGCAGTCTTGATCATTGGCCATCATCCCTTAAAGCGATGTGTATCTCAAGCCCATTAATGTGGTCCATTATAAAAACGACTTTAGGCACGTAAAATTTAATGAACAAGTGTGATTTTTTTAATAGCCTCTTTTATCTCTATCTGCAGTTACATCATTGTAATTTTTATCAGTCTCTCATTTACCCCCCATAGTGCTATTACAGATGCCGGCCATTTCACTCATATTTACAACTCGTTACATCATTCAGAACACATTTACCTTACACTCAAGTCAACAAGTAGCTCAAGAATAATGAAAAGTTCTTCGCTTATAAAATCTTATATGGCAGCAATGACTATTTTTAAATGAGGCCTGGAATGCAATGTCTTATGTGCCACCTACTCTAACCTGCTCAGACCACATAAACGTCCACCGCTGACTTGTCAACATGAGCACCTCCATCCCCAACTTGACAACAAAAGTGCACTCACCACTCTTCTGGTGCCTGAGTCGAAGCTTATCCTCCACGGCATCACGGAAGGTCTTTGCCTCCTTCTCGTTGCAAAAGTTAAGCCCCACCTGGCATTTCTGATAGAGAAAGTAGAAAAGTGATTTGGAGGTGTAATACTGCGTGAAATGACTGAGCCAGCACTGCCAATCATTGATTCAAACCCAGGCAACCATGCAAAATTAAACTAGATTTTCAAGCGAACCAAGATGGAGATCTTAGCCGAATCACCAACAAGAGCTCAAACAATCCGCCTTGTAAAAATGTATTTCTGTATTTACATATATGGTAGTTTACCTTTGAGAGATTAAAATACATTGCTGAATTATTGAAATGTAGTGAAGAACTGTTTAACACGTAGGCTTTCGCAACCAATATCATCCATACAGGTTTTTTTGGGTTAGATCGCGTAAATATATAACTGTCGTTATACCCGCCACCATCCGACACAGCCCATTTGTAAGGTTTGTCATGAGAAAACCCTGCATTATGGTGAAGAACTGGCTGTTGGGTAAGACGGGCTCTTTCAAGCAACTCCAGCAGTAGCTGTGCAAGTATCCAAATTCTAGTCATGCCCTGGCATGATATGCAGCTCTGCTAACAATCAGTAATATGGAAGGCCTTTCTTTAATGTACCTCTTGACAAAACTATGCCCACAAGTACAGTTGGTAATAAAAACCAAATAGTTCAAGGAAAATATATATTCAGGCTCTGCGGCTATTTCATGTGTTTTTCAGTAAATAAGCCAACATTAATTGTCTAATATAAAAATGTGGAATTATGGCCACTAGCTCAGAGCTGTGCGGTTTCCCACATTTGCTTTAATGAGAACACATTTAAACGTTTTAATTTTATGGGTAAAGATGGCACTCATTGAATGAGCAAGTCTTGCACATACATCGCCAAGAAAGGTGTGGAAGAAAGGGCGTGGTTGCTTGTACTCAAACTTATTGTAGAGTTCCTGCTCGTAGCACAGATGCCCTGTGTCCTGCAGAGACACGAAGCAGACACACAGTTTGCACAATGCAGATAGTTCTTATATGTCACTATAAAATGTGTTGGCAAAGGGGGAAAAATGAATTTCCCAGAGTGCATATTAAAAAAAAAACTATTTTTATTTCACCAGGTAAGGACCAACGAGCTATTAAGCTCTTTTTCAGAAGCGACCTGGCCACAAATGATAGCTCAACAAAGCGGTTTACCATGTGGTAATGTATAGCAGCCAACTATGCTAAACACATGTTTCTAAATGTGGAGAGAAAACCGGAGGACCCAGAGAAAAATTCACACGACCACAGGGAGACATGCAAACTCCAATAATACGACCTCCTGTGTACCAGGCGAGGTAGTTAACATATCGCCACCGTGGCACCCTATATGGATTGTATATGGAAGAGGCTAATGACATTTACAGCCAATTTTTAGAGTACTAGACCCCTTGGGACTGCGGTGAAAATGTTATCGACCTCCACAGCAACCAGTAATCGATTTGTAAATGTATAAATGCAGTAGTGTTGTAATCTAGATAACTAAGCTGAAGAATAAGTGTGTATCTACCAGTGAAGACCCTATTTTACAAGCCCTCTTAATACAAAAATGTTTGCCTTTCATAGACCCTCTCAAGTTGATCCCTATTAACTCATGTATTCTACCTGCATTTTTCCTTACTGCTTTGTATATAGGGTTGCAAGAGTTAGTGTAACTGTTAACCACTTATAAGCTTCAAGTACAACCAATGTCTGCACTGTTTAAAATTTTAAAATGTACGCATAAATTAGGTGTTGTGACATCCATAAGGGAAGAGAAACGTTGGCCCCAAGAAGTAAACGAATATCAGCATGTGAACAAGAGATTATGAACTGGTCTCATGGTGGCATATACACTACGAAAAGCTTCCTCTTAAACCATGCGACACATTCTTGACATTCTTTAAAAGCTGGTTTGGGAGACAGGGCAGTTGTCTCAATGAGGTAGTTACATTCCGAGCATAGCTGGGCTGCTGAGCGTTCCTCTACATTCACAGCACTGCTAGAGACCTTTATGCATGCTGCCATTTACTGTGGGTCCTGCTGCAGCCTGGGGGCCACTATTTTTTAAGTGTGTATAATAAAAATGAAAGTCTAAATTTGCATCAAAGAGATTGTAAAATGCAAACAAGTGGGTTTTTTTGATGGGTGTGATTAGAACATGCCACACTGGTAAGCCTTCTAATAATGTATGAAAATTACAATAAAGTCACACAAGGCGAGTAAAAGTATGTTGACACTGGTCCACAGCTTGCATTCTACCAATATTGCTAAAATTATGCACTCTCAGAAGGCCACGTGGTTGATGGAAAGTGTAAAAAATTATTATATTCTTAATGTTGAGGGACAAATACATGAAGATATATTATCCACTTATTTATCATGGTAAAAAAACTTTTTGAAGGGTCTCTCTGCATGTATTATGAGCGCTTTTTCAATTACAGAACATGGCAAATACATATTGCTCAATCAAAAGGGGGACAAAATGACATCATTAGCTATTTATTAATAACAGGTATGTCACGACAGTTATGAAATGTGTAAATGTTGTACTTCTTTCGCACAATATGTAGCCAACCGTGCTAAATGGGGGGTTATAGGGAAATAAGAATAATTTAACTGGAGAAATTAGGAATGGAAGAAAAACTATTACTGAAAATCAAAATAAAGAGTTAATCATGGCCAATGAGTTGCAGCCACCAAAGCTTACAGACGAAAAAATTACTGAAAATCAAAATAAAGCTAATCATGGCCAATGAATTGCAGCCACCAAAGCTTACTCTTTGGTTCTTTCGGTGGAGTTACGTAGGTAGAAAAATAATAGATCACGACGTTTCGATCGCAACACAAGCAATCGTCATCAGGTGGGACAACCAAAGCAAGAAAAAACTGCAGAAATAGGCCAGAGATCTGCCGTGGCACGAGGTCATATAGGCCTCGGCAGTAGGGGGGAGAGACGGGGGGGAGGCGGGGCAGAAAGTGGACCCCGCAGCAGCACCTGGGTCACCAAACATCCCCTGGCTCTCAACTCTACCAGGCCCTGCATCCGTTGCAGTTCACATCCACCCTCCTAGGTCTGCCCTCACAGCACTGTTCCATGAATTCAGGTCTTCCCATTGCTCGCAGACCTTTTAGTGCGACTCCAATGCCTGTCTGGGTAAGTCACCCTCATCCATCCTGCACACTTGCCCCCATCAACATCAACCTCCTAATCCAAACTATAAAAAAAGGATTTTCTGTAACATTTTATTCAGAAATTGCAATTTCTTACACTATCTTGCCATGCAAGTACCTACACTCAAACCCCAAATATTATAGAACACAATAGGATACGCGTGACAAATGTTTATTTTGTAGCAACGATTTCATTGGACCACTAAGCCAATGTACCAAGCGGTAAGTGCAGACAGCTATACAAAAGATTGATAAACGGACTGTTTAAGTCAAATATACGAGGCACACACAAGCACACAGGATGCATAACATTTTTTGAAATCATTACACAATGGAGTTAAACACTACTGGACAAAAAGAAATTGCCCAATGTTTTGGAAAAAAACGACCTTTAACTAGGTTACCTGAAATTGCTCAATAAGGTTGCTTAGTACATAAAAAATACGGTTTCCATACAATTGACATAAGACATGCCATTGCTGCACAAAGTACTGTTTAATTAAACATGGTTTGAGAAACAAAAACCACTGGGCTCTTGTTGTAATCTCCCTGTGGACCATGTGGTCCAGTGAGTTTGAAGTTGTTGGAAACGAAAACAATCCTTTAAAATTACTGTGGGGTGACTGCCGTACTTTGTATTACAGCATCACTGCAGCGAGTCCGACAGTTACTTTAGTGTTTGGAGATGTAAAAATTGGCGATGGCGATTATAGCTACAAAATGTGTTGTGCTGTCGTGGTAGACTTCAGTTCATGAAATAATAAAAATGTCCATCAAGTAAGAATATAATAACATGTTGGTCCATCAGCAAATGCGGTTTCTATATTTTTCCACAGCACTTCTTTACACACTGCACAAGTGCTGGCCCTCAATCTCATCAGCAGACAAATGTTTTTATGTTGCCTCTTATTTATGAGCAAGAGCTCTCCAACTACCCAGGGGCACAGAGTTTTACGATTTTAAATTCTTCCAATGGGAGAAATTATATTAGCGCTACAGACAAATAACATTAAAGCAATTTTATTGTACTACTAAATTACAAATGATCGGATGCGCACCAGTATAGTAGGGGAGTGGAATGAAGTGGAAAATCACAAGTGGCAAGACATTTTAGCAGAATAGTCCTAATCATGGATGTTGCAGTCTCAGTTGTGCAATGAAGTCTCCACTGACTGACAGCAGGGCCTATCAAAGCTACTAAAGGCTCAAAAGAAAAAAACCACAAAGGCATAGAAACATCCATGGCTAATTAGACACCCTTAAAGTGTAGTTGGTTAAACCTCAGGGCATGCGGATAAATATACAGTTGTAGAACAAGTCTGGTATTGCTTTGTGGGTATGAACGGTTGAATGCTACAGGCATGTACCGACACTTGTAGCACTCTGGACTGGACGCCCATAGGTTAGGGTGTATTAGTTTTCTCTTCCTTTTCACGTCTTGTTGTCAGGCTAAAAGCCACATTCCTGAATAGACTATGAGTTCTTATTTTGCCTTTTGCAATCATTGTTTCAATCCAACCCATTTACTCAAGTAGGAGAGAGCATGTTTTAAATACTAGACTTAAATTACATAACAGCCTTTTTGCATCATGATTTTACTTGGTTTCCAATTCACTATTTTGGTGCCTTTTTTTTCATGTTTGAAAATCAAGAAGCAAATACATATTTCCTTCCAAGGAAACGTGACCTACTGGACATACAAAAATGTATATGCCAATTTTATGTAAAAAATGCATGCATTTAGAATGCAGCGATGCATTTATAAGATTAAATAATATGCATGGGATGATTTCTATACAATTAAAGACAGCTCTAATGATTACCATTCTAAATAAAAATGTCAGAGAGTAAGGGATTACAGTAGTGGCTATTAAATATAAGTCACTTCTGGAATATGGTAAGCTATGCAACTTATGGGAATGAACCAATTTATTTTCTTGCTCCTTCAAAGAACCCATTACATTTCGATTTAAAGCTTTCGTGACTGCAAGGATTCATCTTCTTTGGTTCTTTCAGTAAAGTCACGTAGAATGAGAATAAAATAATAAATTAATAAAATAAAATAACACAAAATTCTCACGACGTTTCGGCCACAACACAAGTGGCCACTTGTGACTTTACCGAAAGAACCAAAGAAGATGAACCCATTACATATATTTAACTTTTTCCAAATGGAACGTTTAATATGGTCTGGGACTAACAATGTGATCCACAGAATATTTAAATAAACAGATATCAAATGTAATCTTCAGTGCTGGTCCAGAACAGCGCCACAACTCAGTGGAGTTCCCAAAACGTGGTACTGATTTTATCAACTTGCTGGGTTGACTCTAAACCAGGTTTTGAATTTGAAACATTGAAATCGTGAGTTGAAAAACCTAACCAAAGCACCACTTGGATATAAGTATTTACATTGGGGAAGTAAACAATTTTACTGTGTAAAATTAACACCTGAGTATTTCATCTTTGATGCAGGCAAACAACAGAACACAGTGCTATGCCAGTGCAACTGCTTTATGTTAAGTGTGCTGTTTAATTATGGAGTCATTAATTCAGACTTTGAGCTCTGCTCGTTTATAAAATTATGCTCATACCATAAACAAGCCAGACAAATAACAAGCAATTGGAGGCTAAGACTAAATAATGAAAGACTCGGCATGAATGCCCAAAATGATTGTTATGAATAGCTTGTTCCAGAAGCAGGTTCAAATGAAAGAGCAAGATGTATGGGAAGGGGATTTTCTGTAGTGAATAAAAAGAAATAGGTTCCTGGAAAGAGTTAAATGTAATAAATTAAATAATAGAATACGACGTTTGGATTGCAACACAAGCAATCGTCATCAGGTAGAAAACAAACCTAGTAAAATTAGAAATATGGCGGTTTATAAATTGTGATCTCTTACCGTGCTTGCGATTGCACCTGCTGTGCAAACTAGAATGATTAATCATATTACTGTACTCTTTGGTTCTTTTGGTAAAGTCACATAGAAAGAAAATAAATAATAATAATAGAATACGACGTTTTGATTGCAACACAAGCAACCATCATCAGGTAAGAATGAATAAAACAAACCTAGTAAACTTAGAAATATAATGCAACACAACACACAGAGTCGGCTAACACAACAGTCAACACCCTACCTGGTTGATTACGTTCTTCCAAAGATTGCTAAATTTGAGTGACAAAACACAGACACAGAGACACACAGACAGACACACAAGCAGAGAGAGACAACACAAAGACACACAGAGAGACACACACAGACTCTGTGTTGTATTGCATTGTATTTATAAATTTACTAGGTTTGTTTTCTACCCGATGACGATTGCTTGTGTTGCAATCAAAACGTCGTATTCTATTATTTAATTTATTTTCTTTCTACGAAAGAACCAAAGAGTAATTCCTGCAGTCACAAAAGCTTCAAATCAAGTTAAATTTAAATCAGATTTTTTAAAGAAAATGTAACACGTAAGCATTCACGACCAATGTTATAATTCATAATACATTTTTGGGGAACATTGCGCAAGCACAATGCCAATGTACTGTACACTTCTCCACCCGACACAGCCAAATAAATCAAGTTGCCACGTGTACAAACATGTACATTTTTATTGCTTCAACACACCGGTATGTTGAAGAGCAATCGACAAAATGTAATAATTAGGCACGACATTCCCCTGGTACTTACAATCATCAATAAACTATTTCCAGCATTCAACTCCTGTAGTGAAAGTTACTTCCAATCTTGGGCCTTAAATAGTTGTTCACTTGTGGGGGGTGTGCTAATTTCATCGCATCATCTACAGAAATCACGAGACCAGAATAGTCTAATTTGCAAGAGACACCTAGACCACCAAAATGACAAGTACTCACCCTCATCTCATACACACGGATGAAATAGGACCTCCTGGGGTTGTCCTTGACAAAGCAGACCACACCGCAGTGCCTCTTCTGCCACACCCCATTCTCCGAAAAGAAGACCTGCACCACCGCCGTCGCCATGCTCTGCAGATGCACACGGACACAATGCACACACACATACACAGGGAAAGGTGAGGCAAATGTACACTGCACTGCATGCAAGACCTAAAATTATTCGTATACTTGGTATTTTTACCATTTTTAGAAGGCAATGCTATCACAAAGGCACACAAGACACTTGAAAGGATGGCAGCCAATGGTCAAGGATTGGAAAGCATTCTAGAGATGTTCAGAGATGGAGTGATGAAATCAGCTCGCGTACAGGTGCTCGGTAGATTTGTACGTTGCGGGACCATGAGCGATTGCAATGGTTTGGTGAGGTCCTCAGCAGTGTGTTTGTATTAAATTTGAGCATATCCACAATTAGTCGAGCCCACAATGCAGTGATGTTTTACCAGTAAAAACAAAGCATTATTATATTTTCAAATATCGTTGGGTTAGTGGCCTTGGATTCCAAAAGTTTCAGAATAATTACTCTAACCATGTACCACCATTATAACACATTAAATATAGGCCATTAAACCACAGCTGTAGGCATTTGAACGTTGCGTGACCGTGTCAGACAATTTGCATGCAGTACTAGGATACATCACAATTTAAATAGAAAATTCTAATTTAAAAGCTGAAATTTCCATTGGACTGTTGAAACATTCTGTGGTTGGAAAACACGGAGCAGATTAAAGTACACACTTTATTTGAATAAAGTACACACTTTATTTTCCATTTGCAATGTGGATAGCTGCAAGTCTAAAAGGTGAAATGTATACGTCACTAAATAGCATTTGCAGCAACAGAAAAGTGCCCAGTGGAAAGGCCGAGATGGAAGAATGTCTTTACCACCAGCCTCCACTTAGGGTCGGTCCCGCACAGGGGACCTCAACAAAGGGTACTGCTCACGGCACTTACAAAGATGCTGGCTCTGGAGCATGCGACCATCAGGGCTCATGCCTTGGTCTGCTGTTGGCCCTCCTCCCTATAACAGGATTCAGAGTCAATTGCCAGGGTAATCCCATAGTAGCCATCTCATGTACGAGACCAGGCATCTGATTTCCTCGGTGGAAGCCAATGTGGCTTACAATTCAAACAGGCACATATATCCTGAGGGTCCTAAACACCAGGGCAGCATGGCTGAGCAGAGCAGGAGTGGGCACTCCACTAGGACATGTTTCTGCACATTACCAAGGATTGGAGTCCTGGCTTCGGATTCATTCACATGCTGTGTGAACAACAGGTTGAGGCTTTTCAGCTCATGAAATCCAGACCAAGTTGTAGAGTCAGTGGATGTATTTGCCCAAAATATCACAAATTAACCCTAAAAACAAATTAAATTGAGAAATGTCCTGTCGTTTAAAACAAACTCGATCCCAGCCATTTTTCATCGCATAAATACATGATCAAATTGTAGTGACAATGTTCAACTGTCAAACCAACCTATAGTATTACAGATGTCAATTTTTTCACACGTAGTAACATACAGGGAGTCTCCGACATACGTCATCTCGATGTACATTGTTTCGCACTCATGTAGCCGAATTTTTGAGGAACACAACATCACATTTCCCTGCATATACGTCGCTTTTGACTTAGTTCCGCTGAGCAGAGTTAAAAAACATTGTGCGTGGGTGCGTAGCAGGTCAGCGCGCTGCGCTACGAGCCCAGCAACCCGACTTCGATTCCCGCTCACGGCATGGCCAACAACAGTGACGATTATTATTTTCGACTCAGCTTAGTTGAACTCAATTGAAAGCGGGCGGGGGGGGTATAGATGTAGTGTACAACTCGGGCATGCACCACCATCTTCTCAGTCCGATCGTATTCTCTTGGGTGCATACTAACTATCCACTCAAGGTAAGATCATACAAATAATAGGTTAAGGTACAATCTTAAAAAAATGCTGTTAAAAATTACGTGCTTTTTTTACACAAATTTTTGTTTGTTTGAGTCATTGCTTAAAAATGTCACAAATACGTTTTCTATTAAAAAAAGGAAAACTTTTAAAGTGCACAGGGGCTGCTTCGAAATGCACGTAAAAATGGTTTTCAATTAAGCGTTTGAGTATAAATGTTGTTTAAATATTCTTGAACTCGGAATTAGTTGTGTACATTATGTTGTACAGTATAGTACAGTACCTGTTTTATATACATGTAAAGTACATATTTTGGTTGCCAGGTATGAAACACAAAATTTCCCTAAGTTACAATCCCCATCCCTACCTTATTCCATTGTTCCTTTAGGAGAAATTGCCCCGCTTTGCGTCGTTTAGGCAACGTTTACGCTCTTACGGTGCCCCTATTTCCCCCATTAACATGTATACATATGGGGGGAAAGTCCCCGTTACACATCGTTTCGTTACAACTCGCAACTTTCCGGTCCCTAACGTATATCGGGTACCCCCTTGTACTCTAGTTCATTTTCATGACGCAACAAGCTATTTATAATGTATTTTAAAAAGTTATATATTACACATTTTCCTGGTAAACATTTCATGTTGGATTACACTATTTAAAACTTTAAAGTATATATAAATCTGTAAATATCTATGCAAATGCATGAAGACACACAAAGCCGTGGGTACCACGGCTAACAAGTTACACTACTAAACGTACCAAACACTTCAAATTCATTTGATTTCATTCCAGGATTGTGGCAAATGGCAGTCTGCACATCACGTTTTTGCCTTTAATGCTTTTTTGAACAATTTAAGAGACACCACTGCAACTCAAAGAATAATTACACAGTACAATTCATCCACTTAGGGGAAAGCATAACACTATAAGCTAATGGGCACATATGCAATGGCTTCTCATTACATGTACTGTACAGATAACAATATACCATATCTAAATTATATGAATTGTTTTATGCCTCATCGATTAAAATCAATATCAAATGCTCCAGATACCTGCATAGAATTGTGAATGTAAAAATCTCTTTATGATCTAAAAATAAACAAATATAATTTAAGTTGATAGAACTAGACAGAACCAGACCACATATGAAACTAAGACCAAAATAACAAATTCTTTAATCAAATGACCATGAATCCAGGTAATTAATTGAAGCAAGAAGAGGGTGCATTGTTTCGCGTGCATTAAATATTAAATTCTGAAATATGGTACTGACAGCCTTTATGGTAAGTCATTATTAAATATTAATTTGTCCCATGTGAATAAAATCAAAATAAGATCATTTTCTTGACCTTCAACTCTCATGTTAAATAAAAGCAATGGCGTCCAGTATAATAATAAAATCTACTGAAGTGTACAAAGCATGGTGTTTGCCACCTGGGCGGCACTTCCCGTAAATCCACATGTTCACTTTCCTCCTTGTACAGTCTACACAATGAAACAACTTGTGTGGGTTATTAAAAAAACAGGAAAGCAGCTTCCACAATTGTATATATCGCACAGGAGGCATGGGCAGCCTTTTAAACGTTAAATGCATAAACATGCATTTCCTAACACCTTGAATTTCACAGGTACCACAATTTTATACTGTTTTTGTTTACATTTATAAGTGTTATTGTTTGCAATAGTTTCAAAGAACAATTACTCTGGCTCAATTGCTGTAAGAGAATATATGCATAGTTCTTGCTGAAATCCCCAAAGAACTTAAGTTTTGGCAGAATTTGATAATGAACGCTTGAATATGATTGGCGAATAATCCCATTTGAGGATCATGAGATCACGGACATAAGGTAAATTATATTTAGGACTTTAGTAAGTGGATAACAAAATCCGATATGATACACTATAAAAGGAATACAGTACTGCCCACAGCACAGGCAGGATGGTAAGTACCTGTCTCTCAACCACCAAATCTCAGTTCAGTGAGAAATTGTAATTCAAACCTGGTGTGCGCTTGTTACACACACCATGCTTGAGGTTAGCTTCAGGTTGTCAAGTGCAACCACACGTGAAGCTAGACCGGCCAAGGATGATTAGTATCATCATCACAGTACGCGTAGTCAATTATTATGGAACTGCTCTATTCGGAAATAATTAACATTTTGCCTCGTCTTCCTTTGCATCCACCCTCTGTACTGAAGGTTCTGTAGGCAATGGTAAATCTGCACACTCTTAGTGGGAAAACTGTGCATCAACGTACAAGCAACACCAGAGCAAAGAGAATGACCAATTCCACTCTTAGGTAAAGAAAAAAGGCCATACGAAATTTTAAATCGGCTAAACACATCGTTTGGACGATTGGCTCCATTCTTGGCAACCGGAAACATTGATAAGTTAACGTATTATCGGACGAAAAGCAATATTTGACAATAGGTGAATGGGGGTTCAAAGCAAGTTGCTCAATGGTGAAAGTGTACGTACAAAGAGAGACTGCTCTCTCTACTTATTGTTCACTCAAGTGGTACTCGTGTTATTATTTTATTGATCCCAGAGGGATTATAAGCTGAGTCAAGCGCTAACTGGAAAATTAAGTCATGACTTTACAATTTTGATTTGAGTGACCTATCACACAGGACCCTCCTCACCAGCTGGATGGTCCATTATTAGGTATCATTACTGAGCACCCATGCCTGTTCTTAATTGTAAACAGTTCATTGCAGCTCTAATGCTAAATTATAAACATGATGATAGCAGCAAGGCTTTTATATGCCAAGTAGGAAGGGTTGCCCCCTGGTACCGTTGTTGATCATGGATTGAACCTATCAGGTTTTATTTAAAACTGCTGCAGTTTAAAATAATTGTAATTCCAATTTAAAACCCCGAGTAATCCTCATGCCTTTCTTACATGTAAGGGTCTCCAAGACAAAATAAATATCAATTGGATGTTCTAACTTCTGATGCTATTTCATTGAAAAGTCATGTTACCTTATAATACGTTTTAAACATAACAAGTTATAACTATTGTAATACAGCAATGTGTTGGCATAATCCAATATGGTCGATAGATTCAACCATTACACTATGTAACAGAAACATAGATTTTTTCCTGGGTAGTAAATGTTATTTCCTAATTGCTTATACCTCAAAAGTACAAAAAATGGCTATTATTCCCCAAAA